TCAAAGACAACATGTAGGTCAGTCTCCTTTCTCGCTGACGCCTTTGCTGGAGTGTACCCTGATTCTGTCCATCCCATTTCCAAGCCAGCAGCAATTTCAATACAACAGGGCCAACATCAAGAGTGGCAGATCAGATCCAATCACCCCAGGTGCCCACCCTCCGTCTGAATTACACTATGATGAAAGCATTCGAACTTTGAGATCTACGTTGCAACTGAAAAACATTGAGACAGGTAAATTGTGACAGATTTGTTGCCGAAGGGTTGTGTTCATCATTCAACTACTACTAGAGTTGCATTGGGTTATGGTATTTCATTATACAGGGGTGACAAAGGCGCTGCCTAGCTTCTAAAGAGCACTTGTCTCTCAGCTCTTGCTGCTGTTCAAGGCATTGAGCATCTTGAGAATCTCAGATTCATTGTCGCCAGCGACAGCCTTCCCGTTGTTCCAGTCCACAATCTGCATGTCTCAATCAGCTACGTATGTTCAACAGCAGGCAAGGCGCCCTCTCGGAGATCCACGACAGGCACCTAAGCCAAAGGGAAGCACATACCACAGGTCTCTGGAAGGTCTCGGCATTTTGTTGGAACTTCTTCAGGGCCTCCTGTTCGGTCGAGGCGCCCTGGATGATGGACGACAGCTTGCTCTTTCCGACGTATTCCAGGATGGTCTTGACTTGGTCGGCGGTGGGGTTCTCCTCGGTGATGTTGAGCTCGAACTCGGCGCGGGACTTCTTGGGGTTCGTCTGGACGCTGTGGTCGCTAGCCTGGTCCTCGGTCGCGCCAGCGGCGGCGTTGGCGGAGACCTGCTTGAGGATGTTGGCGGCCCTCACAGAGGCGGGGGAGCTCGCCTTGTGGAAGAGGGTGACGATGTCGAGGGTCTTGTGCTGCGCGGGGTATTAGCTGCTTGCCACAGTGCCAATCAATTGGGGGTGGTTTCTACTCACGAAGCGGAACATTTTGGCGGGGCTGATGGAGAGTTTGGGGGTGATGGTGTTGTTTTTTCGGAATCAGCTGTTGCTGTTTGCGCGGTGCGGCGTGCAGCTGGATGCGATGAAGTCGGCAGTGGAGCTCCCAGAGCTCCCACGAAGTTACGTCATCCCGGTCGCCCGCTCAGGTCTGGACGCCAATGCCGAATTGACGCACGGCGGGGTTTCTGTCGCGCTTACCCCTGGCGACGGCGCTGGGAGCTGCACCCGCTGGTGGCTCATGCACCTGGACCCAGGCCTGGCGGGAGACGATGTCAAAATCAGAGCCTCAAATTCCCCTCATGCTGGGTCTCGTCATCAATGCTGGAATTGCGACGGCAGGCCTGTCAGGCGTAGCGAGCACTTACCTATCTCACGCACAGTTTTCACTGGAGCAGCATGTGACCATTATTGCCTTGTGCGGGATGATCTACGGGCAGCAAAGAACATCTCGAATCCCAATGTCGATGTTGGGATCGAATGCAAGTAATCGGGAGGAACCGCCCCTTCACAAGCTTTCGTATCTAAGATCTGAAGATTTTATTTGCAGGGGTAGTCGTTTGAAGCACGCGACGAACCAGGCAAATCAGACCGAGACCGCCCAGGTACGCTCAACAAAGCAACGGTAGCGCTGAAATCCTGGGGCCGCGACCGCAGTCCCGACTCTATTGTCCCTTCCGGTTGCATCGCCGATTTTCCCATGTGGTTTGGGCAGAAACGATTCCGTCAAGGCGTTCTGCGGAGAAGATGACAGCTGCATGACGTAGGAGGGAGCTTTGCGCCTGTCTGAGCTGAGAATCGGCGCTGAAGACGTCATGACGTAGATGCAGATGAAGTAACTGGTGGGGTGTCTAGTCAAGCAAGAACGCCTCACCAAAGTGTCCGTATATAGGAAGAGCAAGCCTGCAACAACCAAACTGCTCTTCACAACCCCAATCTGTATTCTATTCATCATTCGCAATCTGTTACTCTCAGACTATCCATCAAGAAAAGAAAAACACCCGCACCTTCACCGCACACCTTACCAAACCATCAAAATGGCCGGCGACTCCAAGGTTGGCACCAGTGGCGTTTACGAGGCTGGTGACCAGAGAAACCACAAGAACGAGGAGCTTGATAACGCTGAGCGCTTCGAGGAGGGCAAGGAGAACTCTCACCAGGCCACTGACTCCAGTATGTTCTGACTCCGGTCAAAATTTTAGACACTGCTAACACCATCGCAGAGGACGAGAGATCTATTGCCAACAGACTTGCGGCCGAGGAGGTATGTGGAGTGCATGCAAAGTATCCAGCGGGCGCTAACAATATTTCAGAAGAAGGACAAGGAGGACGACAATGATGATACCCGAGAGGTTCGTCTGGGCAAGATTGACCCCACGCTGCCCGTACGTTCGTTCGCCCCTTACGTCGTTGATCACCACTAACCACAACCAGGCCAAGGACCATGGCAACGAGCCATCCCGAGGTGCCAAGATCGACGCCCAGATCCAGGCTGAGGAGGAAGAGGAGCTGAGGCGCAAGGGCAAGGCGTAAAAAGTTGGAGGAACAGAATTTTCTCAAGGCGTTGGCAGGGCATTAGGAACATGAGCATTACGACTTGATAGCTGCAATCGAACGAACCAGAATCATCACAAGGCATTGGAAACCTACACATGTCACATGGCGCAAAGTGAGGCACGATGAGTGTTGTTTAAGAATACGATGTATTTTGCTTGCATTGAAATGTATTACTGGTACCTGATGCAGAATTAGCAACGTGCTTCTCAAGAAAGCCAGACAATCAAGAGTGAGCAATGGGTAGGAGGTCAGAATATGTAAGAATTGAATATCATGTATTCAAACGGTATAGCCGCTCCGGCGAAAGAGGGCCACCGAGTGAAATCAATCGCAAATTTTTCTCATCATTCCAGGGAAGTGCAGGTTTGGTGAGGACAGAAATGTAAACATACCTTTAACGAAACGCTTGCCGCGTTGCTTATGTCTTGCATACTCTTCGAGCTGTACTCATTCCCAGCTCGAAGCTGTTGCAGTGATGTATGGGAGAGAGGAAGAAAATGTACTGCGCGCGCGTCGAAGCAATAAAAACTGCTGTCGTCAGTGGAGCACGGCAGGAAATCACCGACCCTGCTGACCGCCCACCTAGACCACATTGGGCCGGGTGATTGTCGGCTCGGCAAAACCAAGCCACCGCCGAGCTCGGGCCACCCGGCAAAAAACCACCATAGATAGGTTAGGGCTCAAATTTGCTTCGCACACGCCAAAACAGAAAAATTGCGACCGCGAGCGGAACCTCATCAGGACTACACCACTAACCATAGCAGCACATCTTTGACGTCTGGTAAGTCGACGCGCGCCCCTCCTTTTCCCCCCAGACAAAAGACAACCTCCAACAACATCCCAACTTCTCGATCGCACTCCCCGACAGGAAAAGGAAACCTCTTCTGACACCGCATCTTCCCGACATCTAGACCGACCAGCAAAATGGGTGACGCTACCATCGAGGGTTCCAAGTGGCGACTGGTCGAGGTCGGCCGCGTCGTCCTTCTCCAGGGCAACGGCCCTTACGCCGGCCGCCTCGCGACCATCGTCGAGATCATCGACCACAAGCGCGTACGTTGAATCCCTCTCCCCCCGGCGACGAACGATCAGGCCTCGAGTTTGCAGTCTTGGGATTTGGTGGTGGAAGACGTCGGGAATCAGGAATGAAATGGAAATTGACTCTGTGTGCATACAGGCTCTGGTCGACGGTCCCTCCTCAGACCCCAAGCTCGCCGTCCCCCGCCAACCCATCTCCCTCTCCAACGCCCTCCTGTCTTCCCTCAAGGTTGAGAACCTGCCCCGCGGCGCCCGCACCGGCACCGTCAAGAAGTTCTGGGAGAAGTCCGAGATCGACCAGAAGTGGAAGGAGACCAACTGGTTCAAGCGCAGCACCCAGATTGAGCGAAGAAAGAACCTGTCCGACTTCGACCGCTTCAAGGTCCTGCGCCTCAAGAAGCAGCGCCGCTTCGAGCAGCGCAAGGAGCTCGTCAAGGTCAAGGCCGCCGCGTAAGATGGATAATTCACACACGACACATACCTTGCGATTGGGGAATTCTGTCGAAAAGGGAGGGTTGACTTTGAAGATTACGGGGCTGGTTTAGAGCGTGACAGCATGGGAAATCCGGTTTGGTCTGCATCTCCATTGCAGCATTGGGTTGCTGCACTTCTCTTTTGCTCCGTAACTGGAAGGGCTGTATGTCACATTCATCATCATCAATCGTGATGACCGGCGTCAAATACGGAAATTCAGAGACACAAAAATGAATTCATGGCACAATCAAGATCATACAAATAGACTGGTTGGCATGTGACGGGGACACGGAGTAAAAAGTTGTTTTATTCGTTCGGAGACGACTGTAAATCATCATCTTGACACTATTTTGACGTGCCTCTCCCGCGGCCAAGACATCAACCCCCAAAACACGCGTGCACGCGTCTAGATCCATTTGTCTGCATTTCTTGCGACTTCAGCCTTGTGAGAATGAATGCCCAGAGTTACCAGAATGTCATTCATGTACTGCGGCCTTGCATCGTAGTTCCACGCATCTGCATCTGGGGAATCTGGACGCCATGAGGGGAGTGGTCTGCTTACGTAACCCCGCTTTAGTCACTGCGATCCAGAGGGTGTTCGGCTAACCCTAGAATTTCTCTACGATCTTTCCTGCAAACCACAAAGCCACCGAACAATTCACCCCACGTCGAGTTGAGGATCCCTCGTTCTAAACTTTGGTGAGTGCTGCCCGTCTGCGTCTCGAATTTTGCGTCAAAATCATGTTGGAGCGACCCGCGACCGTTGCGCACAATTTTGTGCGAAGAGAAACGGCCCAATTTCCCTTTTTCCCACACAACGTAGCAGCTCGCTCGCCAAATCAAGCTTCCCCGTTTGCGCGATCCTAGCTCCCACCACCACCACCACCACCCACGCTACCCAACTCAGAAAAATTGCAAGAACTCCCCGCAGCTGACCAGAACACCATCGTTTGCAGTCGAAAAAATGGCCAACCCCCGCGTTGAAGAGCTTCCCGATGACGAGACCAAGAAGGTCTCCGTCGAGGAGCACGAGGACGAGAGCTCCGACTCCGAGGTTGAGGGCGAGGATGCTGAGGGCCTTCCCTCCGGCTCCACCGCTGTCGTCCACTCCCGCAACGAGAAGAAGGCCCGCAAGGCCCTCGAGAAGCTGCACCTGACGAGAGTGCAGGGCATCACCCGCGTCACCCTGCGCCGCCCGAAGAACGTAAGTTGAGACCTTGTCGAGAGAGGGAATGAGGGGTGGTGCGATCGTTGGAGGGGTAGACAAGGCTGACCCACGTCCGACACAGATCCTCTTCGTCATCAACAACCCCGAGGTCTACAAGTCCCCCAACAGCAACACCTACATCGTCTTCGGTGAGGCCAAGATCGAGGACCTCAACGCCACCGCCCAGCAGGCTGCCGCCCAGCAGCTCGCCGCTGCCGGTGGTGAGCACGACCACGCCGGCCACAGCCACGCTGAGCCCAGCAAGGCCGCCGAGGCTGATGCCAAGAAGGAGGAGGAGGAGGAGGATGACGGCGAGGAGGTTGACGCCGAGGGCATTGAGGACAAGGACATCGAGCTCGTCATGACCCAGGCCAACGTCAGCCGGAAGAAGGCCATCAAGGCCCTGAAGGAGAACGACAACGACATTGTCAACTCGATTATGGCATTGAGCATCTAGCGACATCCACTGCGGGTGAAAACAACATCTCTTTCTCGAATTCTCGACGCGGCAAACACACAAAAAGGACGGATATGGGTTGGCATGTACAATTCCCAGGGAGTTGACTCCGAAAAGTCTCGTGCGCAATGAGAGGTCATGATAATTGACGAACTGTCCGTTGCCTAAATGATGTCAATTCCTGTGACGTGATACGCGAAGCTGTCTGTGATGCACATCCTTGTCCAATTGAGGTTGTTCTGAATAATGGAGAATTTCGATACTGCAACCTCCAGCTCTGCCTTCCTTGCCTTACCCCTCGATCGCATCCTGCAAATCGAATTCGTAGTGGAAGCTTTGCCCCACCACGACCCGTTCGCTCCCGCCCAACCAGCTTTCGCAGCCGTGCGCGTATCACGTGATCTAAAGTGTGACCCAGTTCATCCCGGCTCTTTCTCTGCCTCTCCGTTCGGCAAAGTCAATCAAGCATTCTCACGACGACGCAACTCCCTCTCCACTCCCCCGAACCCTCAACACATCCTCCAAAATGGCCGCAGTACGTATCCCCCATCGAACCCGACCGATACCCAGTCGCCGATTGATGCAATTCCTGCCCTCGCCCTCCAATTGAAACCCCGCGCACCGCACCCGCATCTCCGAGCCGCTAAAGGGAAACCCTGAGCTAATTTCTCCCTCCAGCGAAGCGCAGCTCTGAAGCTCGACTGGGCCAAGGTCACGACCTCCCTCGGCCTCCGCGGCCAGACCGTCGCCTCCCTCCAGGCCTTCAAGAAGCGCAACGAGGACGCCCGCCGCAAGGTCCAGACCCTCTCCGAGCTCCCCACGACCGTCGACTTCGCCCACTACCGCTCCGTCCTCAAGAACCAGGCCGTCATCGACGAGATCGAGAAGCGCTTCACTGCCTTCAAGCCCGCCAGCTACGACGTCGCCCGCCAGGTCAAGGCCATCGAGGCCTTCGAGGTTGAGGCCGTGAAGAACGCCGAGGCCACCAAGGACAAGGTCGACCTCGAGCTCAAGGACCTCGAGAAGACCCTCGCCAACATCGAGACCGCCCGTCCCTTCGAGGACCTCACTGTCGTATGTGCACCCGCGGGAGATGCGGGACGAGAGAGGGATGCTGATGAGGATTACAGGACGAAGTCTCCGCCGCCGAGCCCTCGATCGACGAGAAGACCTCCCAGCTCGTTTCCAAGGGCCGCTGGTCCGTACCGGGATACAAGGTACGGTCAATCCAAGTTGTCGCGAGTGACGGAGCTAACACCCTCTGCAGGAGAAGTTCGGCGATCTCTCTGTGCTATAGACGCATTCGCCCCACGCTTCCCTTTGTGTACTCTAGCATTGTAGATAGGCGATCGGTCCAAGGGGACGGAATCAACCCAGAGGACACTAATATCGACCTTGTGTACCATGTTGTACTCCGCGCTGCCTGATGTCTTCTTTGCTATGCAGTGCATATTTTTCCAGCAAGCGACTCGGATGTCACGGCTGATTTTTGCCCTCGGAGTTTTCAGGCTTGCTCGGCGGTAACTGACGTTGAGCTTCGCTGCCGCGTCGGGTTGGATTATTCGATCTCAGATAACGGCGGTAATCTCGGAAATGGCTCAGGAGATGGCCAGGTCCTTTTCATGAGGTGCAAAACCTCACCGCAATGCACCGGGCAAGGCTGGACGTTCCGTCCACTTCCGGCACTACTCCCGGCTAAGCGGGACACCGCGCCATCAACAACCCGGACACCGACCCCACTCCGCCGGCCTCATCCAGCTCATAAAGTGCATGGTCCCTCATCGTGTCCCTGCTCAACCTTCCTCTGTGATTGATCTTCTCCAGCATTGTTGAAACTAATTGCTACCTCATCTCCAACATGGACTCCCTCTCTCATCTGATCCTCAAGCAGCCACCTCCCCTCGACCCAGAATGGCTCCAGCACGAAGAAGCAGCCAACCTCAGAGCGCCCAAGCAAACCTACGCCTCTCCTCTTGACCGCCAGCCCATCTACGCAGAAGAACGCCGCCGCACCACCGCAGATATGCTCGCGCCCTCGGGACCGCTTCACCACCTCGCCCGCATCTCCAAAGCCCACCTAACGGCCCCCTCAACGCTGGACGCCTTCCCGATCCCCATCCTCCGCTTCTCGAACCCGCAGAATGAGAACCCGGGCGTGGCGGTGGTCTACTTCCACGGCGGCGGGCTCTGCGTGGGCGAGGCGGACAGCGAGGAGCTCTCGTGCCGCTGGATCGTCGACGGCCTGCCCGCGGCGGAGGTGTACTCCGTCGGGTACCGGCTCATGCCCGGCGTCCCTGCTGCGACCTGCGTGCGCGACGCGGTGGATGCGTTCACGTACGTCAGGGCACTGGTCCCCGAGGCGAGGGTCGTTGTGGTCGGGAGCAGCAGCGGCGGACAGCTTGCCGCTGCGGTCTCACAGGTTGTGCCGCGGGGGAGTGTGCAGGGTGTGGTGCTGCGGTGCCCGGTCACCTCGGACGGGGGCACGTCGGTGGGGTTTGTGCCGGAGGGGTTGAGGGGGGCGTATACCACGGCCACGCCCGCGTTCGAGACGACGTTGTTGCCGGTGTTTAAGAGGAGTGTGCCGCGGGACGGGTTGGAGAGGTTGCCGTTGGAGGTTGGGGTCGAGGAATTGCGGGGGATGGGGATGCCAAGGGTCTGGGTGCAGGTTTGTAGTAACGATACGCTGTATGGGGATGGGGTTTGTTATGCGATGTTGATGAGGGAGGCGGGGGTCGAGGTTGAGGTTGAGGTTGTGGAGGGGTGGCCGCATACGTTTTGGGTGAAGGCGCCTGGGCTGGAGGGGGCGAGAAGGGCGGAGGAGGGGATGGTGAAGGGGGTGAAGTGGGTTTTGGGGGAGTGATGAGAAGTTCATAGTATTCTGAAGGTATTAATTGAGGATTCATTGAAAATTTACTACTATGCTGTTGCAATCGCTCGTGTGTGATGTGCGATGTGTGTCTGAGTCGTGGTTGTTGTGTCTGGATGTTGTGTGGGGCCAGTCAGGTTGACGTCGCCCGGGGCCGTCGACATGAATTATCGACCACAACCTATAGATATGCCATGAATAATTATCGAGCTGTATTTCAGACAACTTTGGAGTAGATTTCTTTTGTTTTAACACCAATAAAATGATGGTGTGGTTGTGGACGATTTTTCAAGTGTCTTTTTGATGTTATTCAATTGATAACATCTTGAAATTGCCTAGTCACCCAGCATTGTATCCAACGCTGCAACGCTTTCCAATACTTGCAATATTGTAGTCTATCACATTCGTTGCTACTCAAGTCTGAATGTGAAGTTAATCAGATTTATGTTCCTGTCGAAACATTAGTAAAGCCACCAGCCAGACAGACTTGCAGCAGTACAGGTGTCAGGCAGCTAGATAGCAGAGCAGCTCAACGCCGCACTACCATCGCCACTGAACTTCGTCTTCATAGGTCTGAAATCTTTTCAAATTCAATGTCCTAGATGCTCGTTGATGCAAACGAGGAAAGGCACGACAAGTCCCGTCTTACATAAATGCCGGCGTCTAAATCAGGCCGAGCCAGCCGTCAAGTCTGGCTTTTCCCGATGGCTCCTGATTGAACAACGCCAAAGTGATACAAATAGCCGTCATATGGCAGCAGTGATTGCTACACAGAGTGTTCTCTTTGCAGGCGTCAAGCTGTTCCCCCCTTTCCCCAAACCGTGGCTCTCCAGGCCTAGATCAGTGCGATGTCAGAAGATGCCTTCAAAGATCCACAGCACCAGTGAAGATGCCTCAAGCTGACGTAGGTAAGTAGCGTTATTGAGTAGTCTGCTTCGTCTGATGGGAGCCTGTAGGTCATCTTGAGACCAAAAGCTCCCATGACCTGCGTGCCAATTCGTTCCCTGAGGAGGACCACGGGAAAAGCATCGCCACTGAACAATTACGAGATAGCACAACAATCGCATCACCTCCATAAGAGACCCCAGGATTATTGACAACAAGGCGTTTTTGAGATTTAATCTTGAGCTTACTCATCATGTTGCGCAGATCTCTCATGGTCCCGTTCCCCGCAAAGATCACATACTTATACGGTCAGACGTCTCATTTCGGCGTGCGTGATCGCTTCCTCAATAGGAGCCAGTCTTGGAGAAGTCTGGCTCAGATTGTGATGATCAGCTGCAAGGTCATTGTGGGTTGTAACCCGATGCTCACAACCATGAAGCCCGCACGGGCAGAAAAACGTCAGGAAAAGTGCGGCGAGAATCATCCTGTTCCTTACAGAGTCCGTGGACTCGTAGACTCTGCCGACAGGTATCCTTCAGCATTGGTCAATGGGAACGGTGTGGAAGAGTGAGAGCCTAAGATTCACGAGTAGCTCCTGAGAAGGCTCGACTCCTTTGGAGACAGGTGGCGGCATTTCGGTCACTCCTATTGAATCATGCATCATTGCCGAAGTTAGTCAAGAAAGAGGGCAAGAGGAGTCAGGAATGGAGTGCAGTGAAGCAAGTCTAGCCGTCTCGATGTTCCACGAGGTGAACGATATCGGCGAGGAAGCATAACATGACTGAAGCGAGGATCCAAGCGAATATGAATAGGTGATGTTCAGCTATATCCCATGCAAATTGCTCACGATATCATGGCATCCCATTTCGCCCGCAGTGGGATCACATCCCACATGTCCTCCCCAATGGGACCAATGCTATGAGATAAGGTAGATAGCACTCATGAAACAACAATCATCATAGCTATAAGAGTTGGGGAATTTCCGTGCTTCGCCAGAAATCACCATCAAAGCAGCTCTAGTTAGGTCCCAGCTGGTGCGGTCACAAAGGGGTGCCTGCGGCTGCTGTGCTTCACCTCAACTCACAGCAGGCACAACCGGCAAGTGCTGAATCACAGCCGCTCCTTCCTCAACCAAGTGATCAAGTGCGCCTGCCCAGCTCTACAGAACTCAGCCGCGGTATTCAAAAAAGTAAACACTCACCCTCACATCCCACCCACCTTCCCTCCACCACAACAATCACCATCGGGTATTCCTCACAAACACCCACAAGCCCTTCACAAACGAAGCGAACAAACACCACACGAATACTCAGAAGCGCATCCACACTACAACCACCACGATGCCCGGCGACGCCCGCAAGAAGGGAGGCTCCTACTCCACCAATCCCAACACCGTCCGCACCCGGGCCTACCAGGCCTCGCAGACCCCGGAGCAGGCCGCCGCTCGCCGGGAGAAGTTCGCCGAGTACCGCTCCCTCCGCGACAACTGCCTGCGTGTCTACAAGTCCGACGACTTCAAGGCCGCCGTCACCCGCGACGCCCGCGTCGACATCCTCCGCAAGTCGTGCGAGCAGCTCATGGCCAACCGGTTCGTGCTCACCCGCCTCCTTCCCCCGTCTGTATCCCACAAGAAATAAAAACTGACACAGAATAGCGCCGCTGCCCATAAGGTCATGTGCGGCACCGACGTCGATGAGTACGTCAAGCGGTTCCACGACTCCCGCTGGCTCAAGCGCCAGAAGGCTAAAGCTGCCGGCGGCGCTGAGTCGGACAGCGACGACGACTCCGCTGCTTCCAACAGCGGCTCCCCCGTCCCCGCCGCGCAGCTCCAGCGCGACCTCGCCGAGCAGCAGCAGACCGTCGCGCAGCTCGTCCGCAACCAGGCCGCCATGACCACGCAGCTCAACAGCATCAGCGGCCAGGTGATGCACCTCACCGAGGTGGCTGTCCAGCAGCAGGCCCGCATGAATGACATGGAGGCCCAGTCCCAGCGCGACCGCGACGCTCTGCGCGCCGTCCTGCAGGTGCTTGCTGACACGGTTGGTTGAAGGGCATGATGATGATGGATGCTTTTGAACATGCGACTTGGGTTCAGGTTTTCTTATCTTGGTAGATGGGATTTGGCTTGGGTCTAGGTTGGATTTGGAGGGGAACGAAACGAGGTGTTTTTGGTATTTGCCAACGATACGTTTGAGATGGTTGGACGCTTCTATCGTAGACTTGAGGCTCGGATTGCTACGAATGCTAAAGTTCTCTCACACATTGAGGCCCTCGTGTCTGTCACGATTGATTGAAGTCAGTGTGTCTTTGTCAGTAACAAAAGCCCTTTGTGAGCCGGTCTTCATACCCAGAAACAAGGGGACAGACCACCGTCCTACCTTCCACGACTAAGAGCAAAGAACAGTCAATTCCCAGCAAAACAATGAAGGATGTCAGAATAAAGCCAGCCCGCCAAGTCCATGGCGCAGGGGTCGGTGCAACCACAACACCCCACATTCCTCAGCCCCCACCACCAGCCAGCCAGCCACATGTGCCCACCTGCAGGGTTTTTTCTCATGCAGCCGTTGTCCACGCACCAAATTTCCGCAACACCAACACACCAAAATGACATGACGAAAATTCCCTCATTCCCACCGAACATATGCCGCCCACCGACGGCAAGAGGCAAGCATCTCATTGGATGTTCCATCAGCGCCGATGGTTTAGTGGTAAAATTCTCCGTTGCCATCGAGCAGCGTCGGGGAGCCGGGGGTTCGATTCCCCCTCGGCGCAACTTTTTGGCTTGTCTGCGTGGGTTGGCTGGCGTGGACAGGATGAGCGTTGATTGATCTTTTTGTGTTGTGCGATGCTGGAAGGGCTTGTGCGTGTTAGTTAGACAGGGTCTTGGACATTGCTATGTTTATTTGAGCTAGAAGGGTGGCGGTGACCTCTTAGTTGATTGAGTCTTATTACTTCGGATGGCTTCGGCGGCTTCTGGAAGCATGCTGTCGAAGCTGGCTGATTCTCGCCGGAAATGGACTGGGGGCTTTACTACCTTTGGCATGTTAGGAGTTCTTGGAGTTCTTGCGAAAACAAATGTGACGCCGGATGACGGCGAGTCCATGGAAGGGTGCTGTCGGTCGCCCGGGTCTTGATGCCTTCCTCCAGGGGTTTCGCTTCATGGAGTATGGTCAATTCTCACCATGGGCTTTGCAGAAGGACCATGCCATGATTCGCACAATATCATATATGGGTTTGAAATCATTACTGATCTGTCCCTGTTTCTCCAAAGTGTGTCCTTTATGCAAAACCTCGGGACATAATTTCAGGTCTGATGACCTATGACAGTGCTTGGAAAGCTCAATTACATGTACCAAAGACCAAGGTTGAAGTAAATAATCAAATGCAGATTCTTGAGGTATCATAATGCTAAAACATGGCTCATAATCATCAACCCACCCGCACCTCACCTCCTCTCTTGGTGCTCCCCAAACGCCATCTCCTCGTCCGCCTCGCCCTTCTTCTCCACGCCCGCGGCGCCCCGTCTGCGCAGCATATCCTCGACCTCGCCGGGCACGACGCCGCTGTTTCTCTTGGCGATCTGGTCCTCCTCCTGCGCGACGTACTTGAGCGGGCGCTTCGACGAGGTGGCGTCCGGGTTGCGGAAGACGAGGACCTCGTGGTTCTCGGCGAAGAAGCGGTCGACGTCCTCGAGGGTGCGGTCGGCGGTCTCCGGGTAGAAGAGGTAGACGATGGGGACGAAGGAGAAGTTGAAGACGGTCCAGATGATGTAGAACTTCCAGCCGAGGGTGGAGATGCCCGGGGGCGTGATCTCGACAACCATGAAGTTGACGATCCAGTTTGTCGCCGTGCCGAGGGCCGCGCCCTTTGTGCGCATCGAGAGGGAGTTGATCTCGGTGGGGTACAGCCAGGGGACACCTTGGGACGGAGTTAGTATGGTGATTGGGGATGGAGGATGGGGGAGAGGACGAACCTTGCCAGCCGATGCCGAAGAAGACGTAGTAGAGGAAGAAGAAGGCGATGGAGGCCTTGGCCCATTGGCCTTGCGTTTCGGCGGAGAGGCTTCCGAGTTCGGTGTGGCGGATGCAGATTGTGATGACGAGGTAGCAGACAAATTGGCCGGCGGCGGCGTCTGTTTTGGTCAGCTTCGCTCACTGTTGTGATAAGAGGGGGGACGTACACATCATCATCTTCCTGCGACCCCATCTCTCAACGTTCGGGATGCCGATCAAGCTGAACAGGAAGTAGCTGACAGAGTTGCACGCAGCGAGGAGTCGGGCAGTCTTGTTGTCGAGACCGACGGACTGGATGAGGACGGTCGGGAGGTAGTAGCTCGTGACATTGATGCCGCCAAGCTTGAAGATGGTCAGCCTTAATACACGCATTGTGAAGAGTGTGTCTTACCTGTTGCATGGCTTGGGTGCCCATGCCGAGGATGATGCGACGGAGCGTTCCGGTGCCGGCAGTCTCGCCAGTCTTACCGCGGAGAAGATCGGACCAGGGGACGGTGTTCTCGCGCTCGTACTCGACAGCCCACTGGATATCCTTGGACTGTGTCTGTATGTAGGCGTCGTCGACAGGGCGGTCTTCCAGGTCTGCAAGAATTTGCTCTGCCTCAGCAACGCGACCCTTTGCGAGGAGCCAGCTGGGGATTGTTAGTCTGAAGACATGATCAATGTCTAAGTGTGAACTTACCGAGGAGACTCAGGAAGCCATGGGACGGTGCCGAAGAGGATAAAGATGAAGATGAACTGGAAGGCCAGGGGGAACCTCCACGTCACGGAGCCGGTGAGATACGAGAAGCCGAAGGTGACCCAGTTGCCTGCCTCGTCAGTATCAACCGCTCCTCAAGCAATCACACATCCAACTTACTCAAAGAAAACCCAAAGATGTTCATAATCATCTCAATGACAATCAACTTTCCGCGCCAGCTGGCCTTGCTCGTCTCGCCCTGCCACACCGGCGCCGTCGAGGTGTTGATGCCGTTGCCGATGCCGGCGATCACGCGGCCGGTCATCATGGTGGCGTAGTTGAAGGCCGCGATCTGGAGGATGGCGCCGATGGACATGATGGTGGTGCCGACGAGCACGGTGTTCTTGCGCCCGAGCCGCTCGCCGATCCATATGGTGGATATCGCGCCGAGGAAGCAGCCAATGTCGTAGATGGCCGTCACCGTGCTCTGGAGCTTGTCGTTGCCGACAATGCCCATCGTCTGCAGGAAGTCGTCGGTCACGATCACGCCGCCGAAGACGCCTTGGTCGTAGCTTTGTGGGGGGTGGCATGTTAGCTTTTTTCTTGCGTGTGATTGGACGGTGTTTGGGGGTGAGTGGCGGGGAGGAGGAGGGTTGGGGGTTTCAATGCGTACCCGAAGAGTGTCATGTCTGTTGCGCAGGCGACCGTCACCCAGAAGGTGAGCCAGCCGCCCTTGAGGCCGAAGTAACCCATGGTGACTGATGGGTTTGGTGATGAGTATGAGTGTCGAGAAGTACGAGCGGAAGGATGTAAGTAGACTCGATTTTCGGAAGATGGAGATGTGAGTCGATGGTGATTGCAAGGTGCCGAATATCGCAGGCCCTGAACAGACCGATACCTCCATCACGAGAAGGGAGGGCGGCGTTACACAGATCTATATAGCCAAGAGATCTTCGCGCATCAATCTACCTACCCGCTCGGAGCCATTCCGTATCCGCAGCCGCATTTGCAACGGCCGGCGTAAGCCCCGGACACGCCGCTCAATCTGTCGCACATTCTCGCCCATGATGGGGGTACAAGTGTGGATAACAGACGATGTCATCGTCATGGTGCGGCGGCGGTGATGGGGGTACGTAGCCGGCGTACGTGCGCCTGGTACCTTGCCTCGCTCCAGACCTGCCCGCTGGTTTTGGCGCTCATTAGGACGGGCCGAATCAGGTGTGGCCATGCTGGATCTGGGGTGCAGGTTGCCGGGTTCAGGGGAGTGGAGGACCGTGGTGACAGCGATTCGGCTTTGAATACCGGGCCCTTCTTTTCTTTCTTTCTTTTAATTCTTTTCTATCCATTTTACACCTTTCTGGAATACCGGTTTCTTCTTTTAGCGGTCTAGAGAGAGAAAACTCTTCCTAATAAGCTTCAGTGTATCGATCGACGTCCTGCCACTTGACCTCTCTGATGACGGTGATTGAACGGGTGCAGGGGTGCGAACCGTAGGGGGCAGTTGAGAGCAGGGGTGGGCGGGCTAGCACGCTGGCTGGAGTTAGCTGAAGTGTTAGGGCGGTGTTGTCACTAGGAGCGTTATGGTGTTCGGTCTGCTCCCCGCATACATGATCGCCACGACCCGGGCGGGAAACCAAGGCAAGGCGACGAGAGAAAGAGTCAGCAACAGCGAGAAAACAGAGCGACAAACGTCGTCAATTCCGTCGTGGGAATCCACTCTGGTGCCGGCTTCCTTGGTCGTGAATGGCGGAACTAGCGCGCGATGACGTCGTGTTGGCCCCGCCGCGGCTCTGAAACGGGTGCCGGGGCCATCGTTGTTGTCGAAGCTTAATCCAGGCCCCGCGATGGCGACTGGCCCTTTGTCCTTTGTCACATTCTGGCGTGGCGTTGGGGAGCACTTAGTCAGGCTGTCAGATACGTAGGTCGCCCACATCTTCGCATTGCTCCCGTGGGGGGAGACAACTGCGTCTGTCGGTGGGTAAACGGGGAAGGGACAAAAAACCACCAGGTCGGTCCGAATGGGCATCTAGAAGTTGATGCGGGGACTCCACGCTGCTGTCAGTCTGATGTCGTTCGGTTTTGGCCGACGTTTTGGAAAGGGGAGGAGGACCACAGGTGTTGTCATTGGTTTGCTGGAGTGCGGCTCTGTCGTGTAGGGGACATGGCTGCTCCTCGGTCGTTGGCTCGGAGAGTCTCCGGGGCCTCGGACGTTTGTTGAGCTCGTCATCCCGCAGCTCGTCAATTTGATTCGGATGAGGGATTCAACAACAGCACGATGAACGTCGAGGAGTCCGGCGGCTGACTGTGAACATGGACATGTTTCATTCAAAAGTGAAAGCGTCTAAAATTGTGAGCAGAGGAGAGTAATTATCCGAACCCGCAGCCCGCGCCGAACTCCTTGTCCCCGAAACAAAGTCTTCAAATGGGCCGCAAGCGGCGCCTCTCAGATTGACAGAAACTCCTCCACCGACTCCGCAGGTCCGGCGAAGCTCACGTACCCGTCCGGTCTGACGACTACCAGGCCCGCCCCCTTTTCGAAGCCGTAGCGCCTGTGAAGCACGCCGTCCCTGTCCCTAAATCCTCCCGTGCCGATCGTCTGGCCGCCAAACACCTTGACAATCCCGCGCTCCTTGTATCGCTTATCGGCGAGGATCTTCTCCTCCGCCTGCTTCACCTCCTCTTCGTCTCCAAGCATGCCAGAGAAGAGCAGAATGGTGTGCTCCCTGTTACTGGTCAACTCGAGCAGCCACTTGCCCTTCTCGCCCCTCTCATCCAGGAGCTCGCCATCCGGGGCTCTCCAGCCGCCCTTGACTGGGCCCTCGAAACCGGTCGCGGTGTGGACGATGGAGCTGTTGCGGTACTTGATACCCATCTGGGAGATGAAGGTGAATGCACGGAGACGGCGCGCCTTGTCGCCCCAGATGTACGGCACGATCCAGGGCATCAGCTTGTTGCGGATGTATGTGTAAATGAAGTTCTGCGATGCGACAGCATTGAACATCCGGTCGGTGCTATGCAACAGGCGCCTGCCGATCGGGTGTCTCTCCTCCTGGTACGTGTCCAGGAAGGAGTTGTCCTTCTCCCCGCGCAGGACGGCGCTCATCTTCCAGCCGAGGTTGATGGCGTCCTGGATACCGGTGTTCATACCCTGCCCTCCGGCGGGCGAGTGGATGTGCGCTGCGTCGCCGGCCACGAAGATGCGTCCGTCGCGGTAGTTGTTCACGCCTCGGCAGTTCCAGCGAAAATGCGTCAGCCAGATCGGGTCGGTGACCTCCCACGTGCCCCCGGCCAACTCCTCGATGAACTCCTTGATCTCCTGTACAGTCGGGTCGCCAGTGTATTTGCTGTATGTAGACCGCTCGCCGACAATGCGGACCACGCCGTCCTTCAGAGGGAAGATGACCATGATGCGTCCGCCAAGGTACATCGACACCCTCTCGGTATCATACGGGCCTCCAAGCTTGATGTCGGCAAGGATGAATGTCTGGGGGTACTGGGCACCTTCAAAGGTAAGGTCGGTGCTCTTGCGTACGGCGCTGTGCGCGCCGTCGCAGCCGACGATGTACTTGGCCTTGAGGACCTCCTTCTCGCTGCCCTTGACGAGCGTAACCGTAGTGGAGTCGGCGTCCTGCTGAATGTCTTCCGCCGTAATGCCCCGCTCAACCTTGCCGCCGTAGTCTTCGAGCTGCCGCGTCAGCGCCGCCTCGGTGTCGCCTTGGGGGATCCATATCGGCAGCGGGAATTGGGTGTCGTCGAAGCCGAGGTCGTCAAACGTGCCGGTGATGAGGTGCTTCTGGTTGCAGTGAATGTTGACGCCTGGGCCCTGGACGCCGTTTGCCAGCATTTCCTTGGCGACGGTGGGATGGCGGTTGAGGAGCTCTTGCGTGCGGCATTGCACGGCCAGGGCACGGGATTTGTCCGAGGGAGCTTCGAGTTTGTCGATGATGCGGAAGGGGATTTTTTGGACGGAGAGCTCGAGGGCGAGGGTCAGGCCCGTTGGACCTGCGCCGACGATGAGTACGTCTGTTGTCGACATGTCTACCCTGATGGCTGATTGTGTTATTTGGTGTTTTGCCTTCTCAATGGGCTAGTGAATGGTGATGGGCCACTTTCTCGAATGCGTTGGGGAATGAGAGGCAGCGCTGGACTTTAAATCCAGTCTCCTCGGACCAGCGCTCCATGCTGTCGTAACGAAGAGACTCGATACGCTTCAGAGTTTCCATGCCCGACATCAGCTGAACAAGCCCATCGGGGCCTCGCCATCACAAGCTCCGTGCTTACTTCGCGGGCGGGCAGGGATTGACGAAGATGGACGGGTAGCGCTGGGCTGCCACGCTGCTCCCGGCGGTCGGAGTAGCTTTCAGCGGGCGGGAGTGTAAGACGGCGCGGACAGGGATGGGCCGACGACGAGAGAATGGTAGGGCTGCCACGCTCACGCAAGGAACGCCTCAATGAGTTGTCGGGCTGCCAGCGAGCGCTGAAGGAAGGGCGCCGGGGCCAACTTGGGTGTGAGCGAAGGTGCGGCTGAAGGGCTCTGCATGGTTCCGGCGGCAGAAATGTTACTTTTGGGGATGAAGAAGCGTTCCGGGCCTTGTTCGTTGGCAAGTTAATGCATGTTGGTTGCTGAAGATTGGGGCTGGGTTGGGGGACTTGGAGCCGGAGGCGCGGTAGTCGGCGCCGGTGGCTGGTGTGGCGTATGTCACGTGGAAGGTCGGTGGTCGGCGCTAATGGATACCGACCTCCGATATATCCCGTCCTTTGTGTGTAAGACAACAAACATCATCTGGACTTTGGACGAACAATTCCCGGGGACTTTTACTCTGAATAATCAAGATTGCGTAGAAATCGGTAAGGCACGGGGAGTTTCATGACACGGGGAGGGATCGATAGAGAACCAAACTCGGATTAACAGTCTGATGAGAGGAGAGTTGAATTTATCTGACATGCGTAGTCGGCCTAGAGCACCTCCTCAGCCAAGACGGTCTCCTCACGAGGCTTGTTCTCCTCTGAATTCTCGTCAGGCTTGTTCGATTCGTCGGGCTTGCTCTCCTCGAGGCGCCTCTTCTCCTCAAGGCGCTTGTTCTCCAAGTACATGGAGTATTGGCTGACAGTACCCTTGGCATCCACTATCATATTAGCAGGTGGACTTCCACGATACGTATATGTTGGATTATCGACGAATGGGCCAAACGTGATAGCCAACCACCGATACAGGAAAAGAGGCGTGTAATGGCCGAGATTTTGGCCTTCCCATGACGGGGGGGATCCATCCAAAGAAAGGCGCGAGCCTGTTCATGCTGAATCGTATGAACGGATGAGGCTTCTTCGCAAAGAAGAGATAGGCCTTGTATGGATCCCGTCCTAAAGTTGTCACTTTGGATCTTCGGTATGATACCTGGACGATTCGTGGCTGTTCAAGTATGGTCTGGCCGTTTTTCAATGAAATAATCATGTTTGATGGGTGAAAATTGCCGTGGTTCACCTCGGCGAATTCTTCCGACATGAGTCCATCCATGAGCTTTTCCATGATGCTGAGACGAGTGTCTTCGTAAGCTGAGATGTAGGTCGGGGGGTCCTGTGGGTTGGACCAACTGGATCGGAAGCGATTCCGAAAGGGCCCGCTTGGCTGGAAAAGATCACTCAGACACCGCCCCTCAACATACTCTAAGGCCAGCGCAACCACATGCCGAACTTTTACCGCGTACTTAGGATCGGCGCAGGTGGCAGAAACGGCCCAGAATCCGTGGTATTGAGGAGCCAGGTGTGGGAAGCCTGTCAAGCCTGCTTTGAAGAGATGAGAGTAGGCGCCGACTTCGTTGCTCTGAGCAAAGCCCGCTCGGACAGTGACCTTGAAGCAGAACTCGGAAAGATCAACCTTCAGGGGCCAGAACAAAGGATCGTAAAGCTTCAAGAAGACAAGCTGTCCAAGCACAAGGGCTTTGTTCTCGTTACCATCAGAAGAGGCCGAGGCCGTCTGGACCACCTTGCACAAGACTTTCTGGGGCCCGGGGATGTATTGAGAACCATATCCACCATCAACCATGTCGAGGTCTCTAAATGCACCTGACTGCTTTTGTCATTTTGCTTTGTCTCGTCGAAGTCGAGGGGACCGTTGGACTCAGAGAAGACCAGTTGCGAACGTGAAAAACCTTTCTCCTCATCAGTCGGAGTCATTTGTTTCGACGTCAAATTTGGCGATTCCGGGTAAGAAGACGAGCCGAAGGGTGCAGGTGACTTATGCGGCGTAAGAATGAGGCGCTTGCCAGAGTGATACAGCCCTGCATGATCCTCGTAGACATCCGAATCATTGTCGAAAGCCATGATTTTGGGTAGTGTACCTAGTGAAGTTGCTTTCGCTTGATATTCCGTTTGGTTGACAGAGCTGCTTGGAAGATGAAAATAGTTAAAATTTACTGAGGAGTGAAAGGTGAGAACAGGAGATGGGCATTTCTGCATATAAGAGGTTCCAAAGAGGTAAAGTGGCAACAATCGAACAAGAAAGCTTATCTTAATCGTGACTGGACAGTCAAGGTTGGCCATTCAGGGTTTGAGCGCTGGCGATGTAGTGTTCCACAGAACTCAAAGCCTAGAGCGACGAAGACGAGGCTGAATGATAGTCTCAATCTCATTCCCCATCAATGTCACTGTTGTCTGCCATGTGACGCTGGCGACGACGACAGGCGACAACGATAGGCGACGATAATAGACGACGACAACAGACGACGACAATAGTAGTAATAATAATGGTAACAGTAGCAGTAACGATAAGGGCGACTTAACCGCAAACGATGGTAGCAAGGACAGGAAAAGTAGTCGCTGTAGCACAGGAAAATAGGGGGGCCAAATTTCCTATCGTTCGTTGCCTCTGAAATCCTGCCTGAAGGCTTTCTCTTAGTGTACAATCTGTTGTTGTGGCATGACCACCCATCACCTCCCACCGCCAGCCTGTCCCTTCTAATCACTCCTCAGTCTCTCAGTCGCAGCTTGATGAGCCTTGGCCAAGCCATTCAAGCAGATCACGGCGTTGATCTTCGCTGTTCTCGATATCTCGAGCGAGATCTGGTCGCCAACACCCGTGTGCCGTATCTCGCCTCTTTCCACGGAATCGCTCATCTGGTGAAAATGGTATTAGTATGACGCTCCGGTTGAAGATGGCGACGTGCTGAGGGTGATGCTTACAGCGTGCCTTGCGGCATCGGAATCTGATGCGCATACACTGGGCGCTTCTTGCCGCGGATTGATAGGAGATGACTACCCAAAGTCACCTTGTCCTGATCCGAACCATCAGTTTCAAGCGCCCGCGCGAATATGCCAGGGCCAGCCCGCACGCGCTCCAACTCTGACTGGTGCTTGTTGACCACCAAGGCAAGGATCACGGTCGCGATGTAATCTGTCAACACCACTCGGTCTGCACCAAACACCACGCCGTATGTCACACCTTGATGCAACATCTCCTCAAGTTCTGTTGGGAATCCAGTGAAGTCGGCAAGGCCAAGTTCAGAACGGACTTGAAAGTCTGATGTCGCACGAGCCTGCCAGTCTTCCGAACCCGGGACACCATGGTAGGCGATTGAGACGACGTCGTGGAACTCAGGTGGGATCGATGTCAGTTGCTCGTCAGGAAACAACAAACTCTCCATGACTTCGGCGGGGTGTTCGTTGAAGTAAGCCATCATTTTCGCGAATGCTCCGCTCAGTTCGTGGCGTACCTGACCGGTGGGAAGGTGGCCGGGGAACTTTAACTCAACGATCAAGTTGGATTCTTCGGTTTCTCCGTTGTCATACGTCAGCACACACTTGATCGTGAAGTCTGGAATCGAAATGATTCTCGTGGGCTCGTCCGGGGCCCGATCTGCGAACGTGACCATCGTCCACGTTTGGGCGGACCCATCCATCGTCAATGTCTGCCCATCGGTCTCATTGAAACCTGCCTGGAGAACGTGGCATTGGGGCCTGATCCGATCCCGGTCAACCGTTCGAGAGGCGTCTGCCTCTGATCTGTGAAACTTGGAGCTCGGATCTGGAGGCCACATTCGTAGCCCCTGTAATTCGCGGAATTCATGGGTCTCCATGAACTCTTTGGACTCGTCGAGGTACCATTCCTTGCTTTCCGAGTTCCACACCAGCGGAAGTGGGACGTGGTGTGACGACTGGCTCGCCTTATGCGGTTTTTCGGGTCCATCGCGGGACGGTATGGTCGGGAGGGAGAAGTTGTCTCTGACTGCTTGCACAAGGAAGGGGCATGCGTCGTCGGGGTTGATCGGCTGGGCGTGGGCGCAGGGGGGAAGCTGGCCACCTGCTGTTTCCGAATCAATATCCATCGGTCCTGACATTGCTTCCAGGCGACGCGGCGGTTCGAGGGTGTGAAAAGGTAGGCTGGACGCTGCCAAGTGGATGGATGAGTTAGGTCAAGAAAGTTGGTCGAGAGCTGCAAAATTGCCGATGTCTAAGAGTAAGGTTGTTGGACGGTGTCGGTTAGGTGAAGAAAGCGGGCTGAGAGCTCGATCAAAGTCGAAGATTTGTGAGAAGAGAGCTTGTTGAGAGCTTGAGAAAAGTCGAAGAAGTATGAGTGCTGTTGGGCGGTATGAAGAAAGTGGGGTGAGAGCTCGAGCAAAGTTGAAGACGTGTGCCCGGGTTTTTAAGACGGAAAGGCGAAAGGACACTGGAAGCAGAATGGGCCTCTCTGCCTCCTGCCTCTCTGCCTCTCTGCCTCTCGCAGGTGCTGCCTCCCTCCGCCTCTTCGCCTCTCTGCCTACTACCTAAGGTAGGTAGACTTTCGATGCTGATTATTTCCTCAGCGCAACCGCCTAAGCGTTGCCCTCGCTCCTGCCTGCCCTCGCTCCTGCCTGCCCTTCTACCATCTACAGCCCTCTCCAGCCCTCACGTCTACCTTACCTAAATGACCTCACATTAGCCTAAAGCTTGATGAGCCGATTTTTAGAATACCTCAGAGTACTGGCATGGAAACCTGCAAAGGGTCCACGCATGTTTAATCCGCGCCCTGCTAAGACGGTTGGGAAGCCTTCTAGCTTTGTTCCTTCCTCTATGCGTGTCAGGAGCTATGCTCGGGAAGACCATAGTTCTAGAAAGAACCCGCCAGGTGGCACTCCGAGAAGAAGACGGTCGTAGTATAGGTAGGGAAGTGAAGACGTACAAGCTAGATTGCGTTGGATTCATCATTTCGCACAACTACCCACCAAGAGGGGTCCAAGTGAAACACAAAAGTCAGTTGTTGTCAAAGGGAACGAAGAACATGGCGCTTCTGGATGGTCATCGAAGCGTAGGACAATCGTCTCTGTCGCAGTCCCAGTGGACTATTTCACCCTGGCAGCCTGGTCGACAGCTAGACTGATCCGGCCATCCAGGTGCCGATGCGCCAGCTGATTTGCAAGTGTCACCAGTGAGACAGGCAGCCTTCAATCTTATGCAGGCAGCCATCAGATTCTTCTAGTCTGGCGGTGGGTCGCAGATTCACCTCATCGAAGGTGACAAAGAATACCTCACGTTCCATTACTTGGTTTGCTTTTCTACCACGTTCTGGCTTGAAACGGTCCCAGGCAGATAGTCACCTCAGGCTACCTGATCAAGGGCTTTCAGTGACTCATATACTCACGAGGCCAGCATAAAAACTCAAATTTATCAAGTCCTTCCCTCGATTTTCTCCGACACGAAAAGCCCTACCCGATCCTTTCGGCGTTAGACACAGAAAATCTGTTTATTACCAACACCACACCCCATCATTTCGACCGATCTCGATCCTTGCTCAATCATAGGTGCTGTCCCAACTTTCAGCTTGTCAGTTCTGTTCCATCAGCTCACCTTAGCTTTGCAGGCACCCATCAGCGAGTCACGAGATTTTCATGTCCACAACTTGGCCCCTCGGCCTGTGTGTTTCGGTGCTATTTCGTACGTTTCTGACGTCTCAACTGTTTGCCAGACGTTTCCCCCCCCCCCCCCCCCCCCCCCCCCCCCCCCCCCCCCCCNCCCCCCCCCCCCCCCCCCCTTTGGCTCCTTTGCTGACCGTAGATTCCAGCCACGAATCCTCTAGCCATTGTCAAGCATGGCTTCCACCGAGGATGAATACATTCCTGGCGATCGCGATGCACTATACTCCCCGGGCCGTTCCTTGGTCCTCAATTCTCATCAGGCGCCCCCGCCGTACGGCCATATGTACCCGAATCCGCACAATCTACGACCCGCTGACATGGCGCTGAGCGACGACGAGAGCGTCCTCTCGAGAACCCGACAGGTGTTCAAAGAGACCAATCGACCACACGGCTTCAGCCAGATAGCGCAGATCGACCGATACGCCCAGCTTCATGTCACCATCATCAAGGCCATTCCAGGCAACCGCGGCCAAGGAGACTTTTCGGGCCCGGTGAATCTTTTGGGCAGGGTCACCAAAGCTTCTTCGAAACAGAACTTGAGTGTTGGCGATTTGACCTTCATCAAGGTCTTTGACCCTTTATTGTGGTGGAAGGACGTGGAGCTTCTGGACCGGTGTCTCAAGGTCACAACTCGGGCGGACATGGCCTTCTGTGACGAAGTCGGCGCATATTCCTTCTTGCAGCAAAAGGGTCTCACCGGGTTTCCGCATCTCGCGCCGGAACTTTTTGGAAGCTGGACGGCAGCGGTGACAAGCAGCAATCCCGAGTTTGAAGGTCAGACTCGGCATGTGGGAGTGCTTGCTTTGGAGTACATTGATGGCTACCAACTGGACAAGCTTTTTACCCCCATGGAGAGGCCTCGCGCATCTTCTGTTCAGTTTTACGAGGATACCGATACCCCTGTGTCCTTCAATACCGATGAGGCAACCCGGATGGATGTGATGGCAAAGCTTCTTGGGGGAAACATGCAACAAGAGTTCGCGGGCATCACCCATGGTGACATTCACCCGAGGAGTGTCATAGTCTCCATGCGCAACGGCAACACCATTCTCGACTCGCCACGGGTTGCCCTTGTCGGATGGCGGACATCAGTCGTCGACTCTATCGCCAGAGAGCCGCAGGCAGCCTTTGCTTACTACTCCAAGCCGCCGCATCCTTGGAGAAGATACAACATCGTCAGACTTCGCCCCTTTCTTGGTTGGATTTCTCGGGACTGGCAAGCTTCCGCACAGTACCCACGCCACTCCCCACAGCTGAACAGATGGATGTTCGATACCTTTGGCTCCTTGCACAACCCAGACAACCCGGACTTCCAGACTTGGGCAGAACAATGCATATTGGACAAGGCTTTCGGGGGCCTGACTGTCACTACCGACGCTGCCACTCCGTCGATCTAGCAGTTCGACAGAATCGACAAGACGTCGCGTGAGATATCACCCCGTCTCGTGAAAGACTATGGCCTGGAACGCACGCTGCGTGTCATGACGCGTGTCACGATTGCCGACTTCGAGAAAATAGCCATTCCCCCCCTCACAGACAAAATCGAGAAGTCTTTGTCCCGCTTCGAACTCGTGGACAGCAAAGCCCTTCGCAAGCGAGCCATCGCCCGCGGTCGTTTGATCATCCGCAAGCATGTGGAGAGGAAAGCACGCCATATTTTAGACAACTCATCACGGAGGATTTTACTGTCGCCTGAACTGGTCCGTCTCAACCTTGACGATGAGATCCTCCGAAGTGATGTCAGGCGCCAACTGGAAGCTCTCGTGTTGGTGTTCCGCGAGGATCCGAAAGCGGCCTTCCCGCCTGTCTTCGCGAACGAGGGCATGAAGGAATTGGAAGAAGCTGCACAGTCGGCCAAGCACTGGTTCCACGACATGGCTGTAGGGCATATCCACAAGACGCTATCCAAGGCTAAGAGATTCTCGGATCCCGGAGTGATCGTGGATGCTTCAAAGCTCGAAGAAGCTAGACTGAATGGCACATCTATCATCGAGGGTGCCGTTGAGGACGTCGTCAAGAACCGCTTGGAACAAGTCTTGCAATCAGGAGACCCATCTTTGGAGAATTTTCAGAAGAGACTCTCGGCAAGGTCCACGAAAATGCGGATACTTCGTCCCATTGAGATGGCCGTCCGCAGCACATTTCAAGCTGGCACTTCTGAGAAGGAGCCCCATCAGACTTCGGTGGAATCTGCATCAGAGTCGCACACTCTGTCTAGGGCTTTTGAGAACCTGGCCATCGACCCCGCTCAGGAGTCTTCAGTGGCTTCAGAGAACGTTGATCAAGGTGTTTCTCGCCGGTATGTTACTCGCCTTCGCATGAGGCTTATGTTGTGCAACAAGCTGACATCTAAATCAGGTCTAGTCAGGGATGAACCAATGCGATATCGGTTGGTTCACACAAGGCATCGGCAAGCGACCAGAAATTCTGCAACATGCGTGAAGAGATACGCCGACCATGTTTCGATTCGGATAGATTCCAGTTGTTGTGAAGGTTTTGGTAGTCGGGGATGAAGGCGGAAAGATTTCACGATGGTTGCATCATGTCAGAATAGTTGCTTCGTAGGTTGGGTCTGTATGCTTGCCAATTAGATTTCCTTGGGTTTTCACAAGGTCTCTACTGTTCCTGAGCTGGAAGCGACTACTGTTTCTGACAACTCGCCTGTCCACCCCTCATTTTGTCGTCGCCGCCACCTCTTCTGCTATCATCGTCGTCTCTATCCTCGTCTCTATCCTCGTCTTTGTTCTCGTCCCTGTCGCCGTTCCTGTCGCCGTCTCTGTCGTCGCCCTCTGTCGTCCTTGTCAAAGTTACCCGGCACACAGGAAATCTAGTCGTTCAAACACAGGAAGGCGATCTCGATAGCATTAGCATACCGGGAAGAGGCGCACTACAATTTACAGCCGCGCCTGACATCGTAGCTTGTTCTTCGGCGAAGTAAATTTTCCATGGACCGGAGCTGTTTTCGACGCCCGCATACTGCATCGATACCTTTTGAGCGAGGCGATTTCGAAGGGTCGTTTGGACCTGGATAGTCCTAATTACAATTATTTTAAAAACTCTCGCAAACGGAATTTTGACTCTTCTGCCATCTCCCGCAAAACAAACCCTCGCCCCACCTACTGAGCTCACAAAAAACACGACACAGTCTGTGCAAAGATGAGACCAATCACGCAGTCTGACGTCGCGGACTTCATGGACGGCCTTCAGGCTAATTATCTCCTGGACCAATATCGGTTGATCACGAACCTCAACCTCGCGCCATTTTTGATGCTCGAACGGAACTGGTGGCCTGCGAACTACGTCAGGTCGCTCCTGAAAAGGTCCCCCGCCTGCATCACCTCCTCCAAAGGCATTCGGTTGCCCCTCGAGCTGTGGCTCGACATCATCGAGATTGTTGAATGTGACCCCGATGACTGTGTTCTTCTGGCGCCGGTAGCGGTCCGCGAGACCGAAGGCCGATCGTTTCTGCTTTGCATTGAGATACAGAGTCACTGGGCAGTCAATACCTGTGGAGACCTCGAGGACACCTACATCTTCCTTCATCGTCACGGCCACCCTAACCAAAAAGACGATGAACGGGATGGTGACAGGCGATGTGACCCGGTCTGGATACGTGAAGGCCCCCAAGCGAGAATTTTGATCGACCTTGGCGCCATTCCTGAAAAAGAGGACCAGTTGTTTGGAGTGTGGATTGACGTTGGGGACGACAACAAAGTGGCATTCATGAAAGGGATAAAATGCCGGACTTGCCACGGCCTCCGCTAGGTGCAGACAAGGCTGGGAAGTCCAGGAGAACTGAACGGGTGGAGCGAATCCTCCTACCGATCATGGAAGCGATTTCATTTGCCCTATTTGCCGCGGCGAGAATGCCATGGAGGTTGGTGTTGGTCTCATGAGGATGGAATGTCATGCTAGCTATGATAGCGACGATGAAGATATCAAGGAGATGCTTGAGTGGTGCGATAAACGTCTTCAAGAGCTTGAATTTGCAAGATTTATGAGGCCAAATGCTTCATAAATGGGATGGCGACTGCTTCTTCATTGATGTCTTTCATATCCAGTCTCTAATGTCATCGTCACTAGCTTCGTTGTCTTCGCGATCTTTGATCTCTAATTCTCAACACACAAAGGAGTCCCTTCTGAACACCAATCCTTGTCTCTTGAATCATTGAAATTGGATGTGGTGATGCTCACAATGGTGTTGTGATCAAAGATACGTACCTGGCGGCTGACTTAGAGTTCTGGCGACAGCTCCAGGGCAAACCCGTGGGGAACCTCAGTGATGGCAGGCCGTTGCGGTTACGTGCAGCAGCTCTAGTCACCATCAGCCAATGGGAGAAGCTACGGCGCCCCCACCAGCGCTGGTCTCCCCCGCGCCCGCACGTTCAGCGGATGTTTCTCTCCGCGACAGGCACTAACGCCGCCAATGGCACAGGGATCCATTGCGAAGCCGTGTCGTCATGGAACATCGACTGACCTCATCCGACCTCAGCTCTCACCTCACGGATACGTAGCCCGCGCACGCCTCCGATGGACCAGGGCGAACACCGATGGCGGGGGGAGCTACAAGAAGTGCCATGAGCTCCTGCCTTCGCCAATGCGTCCAACATGCGACCTGCCGCACGCTCGCCTGCCTACTTGGCGCCCTTAGACAGCGATGAGATCATCTCTTTCGTGCCGCCTCCGCCTCGCCGCGAAATATAACAGCAACATCAACAACCTCACCCCCTCCTCTTTGCTGTCCTTTTCCAGATCCATGACCACTTGTGCTACCTTGAAATATTCGAGAAAAACACCGCGCAACGCACCACCTCGCCCAATCCCACCACAGCACAACCAAACCAGAATGTCTTCTCAAAAGACAGCCGGCCCAGAGGGCAACGACCTCTTCACCCGTTCCCACCTCTTCGACCTCACCGGTAAAGTCGCCCTCGTAACCGGCGGTGGCACCGGCATCGGTCTCATGGCAACGCAGGCCCTCGCTGCCAACGGCGCAAAAGTTTACATCACCTCCCGCAACCGCGAGAAGCTCACCAACACCGTCGAGACCTACGGCAAGAACATTGCCGGCCAGATCATTCCCATCCAGGCCGACGTCACCAAGAAGGACGACATTGAGATGCTCGTCCAGGAAATCACGTCCCGCGAAAAGGTTCTCGATATCCTCATCAACAACGCCGGCGTCTCCAGTTCTCCAGTCGAGGTCGAGAGCGACGACGCCCATGACATGAAGAAGTCCCTCTTCGAAAGCGACAAGGCCGACTTTGAGGACTGGACTGAGGTCTACAAGACCAATGTCGCGGCCGTCTACTACGTCGCCGCCTCCTTCCTGCCTCTGCTGCAGAAGGCCACCGAGCAGCAGCAAGGCTGGTCCTCCACCATCATCAACATTAGCAGCATTAGCGGCATGATCAAGAAGTCGCAGCACCACTTCTCCTACAACGCATCCAAGGCCGCCACCATCCACGTCAACCGCATGCTAGCCGAGGAGGTGGCCTCCAACGGCCTCAAGATCCGCATCAACAGCATCGCACCGGGCGTCTTTCCCTCGGAGATGACCACCAAGAAGCCATCCGACGACCATCAGAAGAGCGAGATCCCCAAGGAGAAGTACGCGGAGAAGGTGCCGGCGCAGCGGCCGGGCAAGGACGAGGATATGGCGGCTACGGTGCTGTACTTTGCGTGCAATCAGTACCTGAACGGACAAACGCTTGCTGTGGATGGAGGATATACCCTGGCTGCTGGCTTGTGATGAGAACAATCTAGTTGGAGTGCGGCGTGGTTTGGAATCGGCCCAGCTTGATGAGATTGGCATGTAGAAGGCGGAATCAAAAGCGGCTTTTATGATTGAAAGAAATATGATTTTCACAACCTGCATCTGTTTTTCCAGAGAAATCCGCCCAAACTCCGCGCCGACTTGAGTCATCTAACAAATGGGACTTTGGTTGTCTAGCAGATGGCTAGATAGCAAGCTGACAGGGGATAGCTGCAGGAAGTCATGCAAGGTAAGCACGCTTGTTGGATCTAACCTAGCACTTTTGTCTAGATTGGCGGGGTTGGCCGGCGCGTCGCTCTCTCAATAACAATCTGACCTGTATGATGGGAATCGACGTGGTCCGCAATCTCGTGGAGATTGCCATCAAAGAAAAGGTGCTGCCGCGATGCACACACGGGAATGGGTCTTTACGTTCCGCCGTTCACTCCCTCTTTCTCACAGATTTTTGAACAAATGAGTCGTCTCTCACAATCTACCCTTTTCAATCCATAGCACCGTCAACATAAACGAGCCCCCGGCAACATGGTGCTCGCTTCTCTGCGCAACTTGCGCTCGCAGTGGTTTCCGCCAGCGCCCACGTTCACCGAGGATAATGTTCCGCCGCAAGATGGCCGCGTCTTCATCGTCACCGGGGGCAACGCGGGTGTCGGCTTCGAGCTTGTGAAGATGCTCTACACCACGGGCGCCACCACATACATGGCGTCAAGATCCAAGGTTGGTTTCGCCACCAAATCAGAGGGCTCATCGGCATCTGCCCGTCGCATCATCAACTCCCGCTCCATCATTCTTGACACTAACCACCTACGACAGGAACGAGCCGAAAAGGCCATCGAGACAATCACCACCGCCTCCCCAGCCCCCGCAAACCCCGGGCGCATCAAGATCCTCCTCCTCGACCTCAACGACCTCGAAAGCGTAAAGTCCGCCGCCGCGTCCTTCGCGCAGCGGGAATCAAAGCTCGACGTCCTCTGGAACAACGCCGGCACCGGCGGCTACGGCGTCAAACCCGGCGCGACAACAGTACAGGGCTTCCAGGCCATGGTCGGCATGCACTGCATCGCCGCACAGCTCTTCACGCACCTCCTCATCCCCCACCTCCGCGCAGCCGCCGCGACCGCGCCCAAGGGCTCGGCGCGCGTAGTCTGGACATCCAGCTTCCTCGGCGAAGGCGGCACGCCCACCAACGGCATCGATTTCGACACCCTGGAAAGCGGCACCCCGGACCTCGTGCAGAACTACGCCGTCTCGAAGCTCGGGAACTGGATGCTCGGGCGCGAGATGGCGGTGAGGTACATGGCCGACGGCATCGTCAGCGTGGCGCAGAATCCGGGGAACATCAGGGCGGGGTCGTACGCGGGGACCCCGGGGTGGGTCATGGTGCTGCTCGGCCCGCTGATGTACGAGACGAAGCTGGGCGGGTGCACGGAGCTGTATGCCGGGTTGTCGCCGGAGGTGACGCTGGAGCAGTCGGGGTGTTATGTCATTCCCTTTGGGCGGATTCGGGCGGATGAGGATTGTCCGAGGAAGGATCTTCTCAATGCTATGAAACCTGAGGCTGAGGGTGGGTTGGGGTATGCTGCGAGGTTTTGGGACTGGTGTGAGGAGCAGTGGAAGCCGTTTGTATAGGCTGATTGCTGTCATATGAGCCTCGATATTGTGTATGGTCAGCACTATTGTCGTTGACGGTCTGAGTTTGAACTTGGCAGAGCGGAGATCTAGCCTGGCCACCATGCTTCTTTCTTTTTTTCACCCGAGCATCCTGAATTTTGATATTCGAAGCTGTCTCCGTCTCCGGCTTCAAGTCATCCTTCCGTTGAGGAACGCATATGCAGTAACGCACCCGAATATACTGGGTTATGAACGGCACAGGATGGGAAATGGCTTGGCGAACTCATTACCAATATTCACTAACATTTCAATTTGGAAAGGGCCGCGTGATTGCTTCTGTTTCATCACGCTCATCCTTCTTGCCTTCCAACTTTCTGCTCATGGTTCACCGCCTGTGGGTACGCCTTTTTGACTGCCATTTGACGGGAACCGGACGAATTATCGCTCCCGCCAATTCTTTACGTTGCTCAACTGCAGAAAGCCACAAATCAGTCTCCAGCATCGCGAAGCAGCTCATCTTGTTGGTCTCGATCCAGTAGAACCTCACGGCCGTTTTCGGAGCCACGAACGAAATGTGAGCACGCCGCCCAAAGGCTGTGTAACAAGCGAATTAGGTTTCATCAACAGCCCCGTCCATACTCAAAGCCCCCAAACCGCAATAACATCAAGACGGACTTCATCATTTCAACCACGACTTAGACTTCTGTTCAACAGGGGTTCCCCTCCCAAATACCAGCGCCCCCGTTTGGGGGCATGGACAGCAACATTGCTCGGGCCGGTTGACAGGATGCCAAGTCCAATGTTGCCGTCAAATTCAACAGCGCAGTATCCAAGAAACGGCGGCATCCCGCATGCCGCACAAGCTTTGCCTAGTTGAACATAGCCTTCAGCGCATTAATCGGTTTACGACAACCATAGGAGAGCTATACCGCCTGATCCGTCTCGTTCAGCTGCCAAGCTGACCAAGAAAACAACAGAGTCAAGACGAATCCAACGAGAACAGCAAAAGAAGCACCTTTGTGGGCGGTCCATTGTGTTGAGGCAGTACAGGAAGCAGTACCCGCTCCTATCAAAAGTGAGGCGGATCTGTCTCACACAAATTGAGCGACTTATTGATCGCGATCAACCGAATCCTTCCACAATAAGAGAGGCCCCCAACCTGTCGAGCCGTGGCACCATCTGAACAAAGCCCTTGTTTCCGATCGTTCAAGTCTAAAAAAGTCGCCGGGTCGATTAAGAGAAAAGGACAAAAACACTTCAGATGAAGCTCCTTGCTCGAGTCACGTTTCTTGGCATGACAACTCAATTACAGCGAACAAAAAAAGAACAGTGGCTCTCCAAGTGTGGCTGACGCAGTCCCGCTCGCAGGGATGAATCGCAAGATCCGAGAGTCTCATTGGCCGATCAAGTCGAGATCCCTTCGCACGGCCCGAGAGGCCTTGCTGGGTTTGGGATGAACCGCCAAAGTGTAATAGATTGCCGGCGCCCCCCAGCCCTGCGGTCGATCTTCAATGCGGTGGTTAATGTACGCTCCCGTACCTCCTTAATTTTCCCACGCGTGACGCTTGTTCTCGTTTTCGCGCCCAGACGGCGTCGGGGGGGGGGAAAAGGGTGCCAAAAAAGTTTTGACATTAATGATCGACGCTTTCATATCAGCGCTGCCGTCCATGCCGCCGCGATTTGATCGGTCTTGGCGCCAAGTCAGTGCCTTCTATCGGCGAATGCGTCGTCTCGACGCTCCCGTGCAGAATTTCGACACATCGTGATGGTTGGGATTTTGTGGTATAAATGCCTGCTGGCCATCGCGCCATCGATACCATGCAGTTCACCACTCCAAACCAACACATTCTTTACTCAACAACCAACTACACTCATTGCCCAACTACTCCACACATTCTTTTGATTTTAAACAACAAATCCATCGCAAAGATGCATCCCTCTCAGTTGTTCTCCGCCATCACTCTGGCCTCCCTCGCCGCCTTCGGCAGCGCGAGCCCCATCGCCATGGCCGAGGGCGAAGCCTCAGGCCTTGTCACCCGCCAGGACAGCTGCAACGCGGCACCCATCAGTGCCGAATACGACTTCTCGTACTACACCTTCCACATCGACGCCAACGTCCAGCAACGCGCCAAGGCCGCGGGGCTCACTAAGATCGGTGTCCTGCAGAAGTGCAACTCGAACGGCGGCATCCTCGGCAGTAAGCTTTGGCCCCAAGCTCCTGACAGTGATACGGCAGAGAACTAACAGCGAACCAGGCCAACCGAAGAACACCGAAAACTGGGCCTACGCCCCCCTGGACAAGTTCGGCCCCGACCAGAAGTACAAGATCAAGGTCAACCGCTGCAAGAAGGACTACGACCGCCACGTCTGGAAGTACCAGGTCTGGCTCTGCAACGAGAAAAACTGGTGCGGCACGACCAACTGCGGTCTGGACCGTGACATCTGCCCGACGCAGAAGACCAAGTCAGTGGACTTGGTTGACAACGAGGCCTGGCTGTGCTCTGCTTAGTGGAGCGGCAGGAGGCGTGAGGTGTACGATATTTGGGGAAGGCTTCTGGTTTCTCTATAGATGTGCATGAGCAATCAGCTTAGAATGAGTTATGACCAATCCATTTTTTCTTTCTCTTGATCTTGAGTGGGAAAATACGTCCGTCCTACCGTCAGTCAACCTTTTCCTACCTTGGGCCGCAAATTGAGCTGGTTCTATCCAACCTGGAAGTTAAATATTGCTGTGGCGGTGGATAATCTTAGCCAAGCAGGTCTACGGGGTACACCCAGTTCTCTCTGCTGTCGTTATTACCGTCTAAGCGATCTCTGTCGCCTCTGCAGTCTTGGAATTTATCGCGATTATTTCGTCCGTTTCAATGGTAGAAAGTATCACCCAGATGACGCGGTGTGTTGCACTGCGCATGCGCCAAGAACTCATATGTCACCCGAAGTTCAAGGCTGTTCATGAACAAGGAAGTCGAACACATCTCGTTTCCCTTTTTTTGATTTCTTTGATGAAATTTGCTAATTACTTGCAGGCTTGGGTGCCTTTTTCGAAGGTGGAGGTTTTAAAAATCAAGTGTCCCCAGGATGAACATGTCTGCGGCATCCAAGGTCACGCGAACATTCTTTGATGTTGGCACATACAGCATTTTCTAGTTTGATCTAACTATCCGTGTAGCGGATACCATCCTACAAGAAGACCATTCTCTCACTCCCAAGACAGCTAAGAAGAGAATGAGTCTGACACAATGCGGCTACTTGCGAGAGTCTAAAAGAAAACAAGCCCCATTCTTCACTCTTGATCTGACTCGAACTTGGCTCTGGGTGCCTCGGAGATTGGTGGTAAATAGGCACGTAGCGTGAAGCATTTGACTTGTTGGGTGGCTCAGCCTTATTCTCCTTAGCCTCGTCGTCCTTAGCCTGGGCATCCTTAGCCATGTCGTCTCTGGCCTCGTCATCCTTGGCCTCGTCATCCTTGCCGTCGTGGTCATCGTCCTCAGCTTCATTCGCCGCGCCCTGGCTGACTGCTCTTCCGCAGACAGTGTATTCTTCACGAGTTCTTCGGCAGGCAGCGCGGCTGTCCATCTAGCGTTGATAACGTATCGCATCTCGTTGGCACGGCTTGGGACTTGGACTGGGTTGGTTTTACGAGCGTGGTCGTATGCTTTCGACCAAGGCGGCTGCGCCCTGGGAGAGAATGATTTCGATCTCATCGTTCGTAATTGGGATGTGAGAGATCTCCTGCTAGAACAGATCCTCAATCGAGTCCTCATTCGCGAACGGCATTGCTTCTGCCCCATTCTTCCTCCTCTCCGTCTCCAAAGTGGCGTACAGAGAGAGATGCCAGGGCGCGATGCCTTCTTCCATCGGTCCAAATTCCTTCACAAGCCACGCGTAAAATTGTGACTCATCGTGCCACCACTCGTAGGGCCACCAGCCACAAAAGTGGACGATTTCGCGAAGAGTGAAGTGGTCGGCTGGATGGACGGGGTACGGAAGCTGTTGATTGTCGCTCCTGCGCTGAACTTTTGCCATGCGGGTCATGCATCACACTTGGCAAAACTTGTAATTCAGCTTAAACACTCTGGGGAATTGTAGCTTCTGTAGCTCCTTTCCATGAGACAGATAGGTAATCATGAAATCGCCAAGCTCGTATTCTCTGTGATTGACCCTGAGGCTGTAGCCCTCCACGAACCCACCGATGATGTCGGCGAGGACTTTCAAGCGAGTATGCTCACCCATGTCCAGGTAGCCATGTGTATCGTTCTCGTCATCAGCATCGTACAAGGGCTGTGGTTCGGTCATAGGGTAGACGCGCATGGAGTCCTCGTCTTCGCGTGTACAGAGGTCTTCCATGGAAACTCCATCGATTTACTCTATAGCTACAGCACCGGTGTATCGCTTTCCATCCGCGGAACTCCAATTCAGGTCGATTATCCAGGTACCCTAGTATTCAGGTGTGAGATTGTGCCCGCCAGTGAGTCGGAGCTTCCCCGGCAGGTCATTCCCATGCTCATCCCTCCCAACTCGGTGCATACAGCGCAAAGCAGATGCCTCTCGGCTCAGGTGTTGGTCGGCTAGCTGGTAATAGGTGTAAGCTCGGGGCAAAGTGACTGTGTGCGGGTAGTACTCGTGGTCGAAGATCTTTAGGACAACGTTCATTCCTGCGATGAGAGGAGCGTAGTGTGGCGTAGTCTCGGCATCTTGAACCCTGCACAGAACAACTTGAGGACCCTTCTCGCACCCCCCAGAAAGTGTCTCGAGGACGCAAAGACGCAGCTTTTCGTTGGCGGGGACTGCTCTTTCGGGATCGAAGCCGCTAGGATGTGTCCGGACCGAATAAGGGAATGGGGTTTTGATACGTGATGGACTTTTCCAGGGCCATGGGAAGTGACTGGGTCCATACTGAGGCGTGATCTTGATATGGAGTGAGAGCGTCAACTCCTTGCCCACCGCGTACGACGGTACTCCAAGCTGGGTACCCTGAAGGAAGGACATGATGGTTCGCAGCAAGCCGCGAAGAGGAATGCAGGGGGTGGCGGGAAGAAGAGCGGCAGGAGATATGCGCAAGGAAAGATGCCGAGCTTTGCGCGGATGGGATAATTGTTTTTTCGAAGAGAATGGAGCCTGCGTCCAGGACGAACCGCGGCGTGGAGTGAAATCTGGTAACCAAGGAGGAGAAAGCTACGAAAAGATTGCTGTGGCGATAGGGAGAAGAGCAGCCCGAATCAGCCTACGACCTTGAGAGTTTTCTTTTTTTTCAACGCGTGTTTGTTCACGCGAGAAGGTGGTAGAAAGATGGAGAGTGCATGGAGAAAAGCGCCGTGGCCATGCTTTTGGAGAAAGCCCAAGGTGGAATAGACGAAAAGGCTTCGGGTTCAGGAAGTACGACGGACGGCTTCAAAGTAGAATTGCCCAGCGATATGCCCAAACCTGTGTAGCTACCTAGCAAAAAATAGACTTGCAGCACTCATGAGCTACTGTTGACTCGATCAGAGCTACCCTGCGTCCTTCACCTTCCGTGACAAAGCAACATTCGGACACATCCGCGAAGCGAATTGCAAAGCTTTGGTTGGCAACACTCCTTTTTGGTCTATCTGATTCCATCACTGTTATTCTGACAAGTGGATACCCTCCAATCAGAAGGGGAGCAAACCAGCCCGACCCGACGCGGCTGCATGCAAATTCCTCTGGCCTCTCAAGCACTCACAAGCGCAGCTTTCTAAAAGCTTCCACCAACCCAGCCATCTCCATGGGGTATTCTGGATAGTTTGGTAGACAACTGTACCTTCTGATACTGTCATTGACTCTGTTCTTCACACGCCGGGAGCAGAGCCTATCCACAAAGTCGGAGAGATATCGTTTTGGTCTCCATCTTCGGAACCAATCTTTACTCGCAATAAACTCGGCCTCTCGTGTGACGTGATACTTCACACTCTCGGCCACAGTGTCGCGGTAAGATCTCCGGATGTCATCGGTCCACCATTTTTTGATCTCTGAGAGATACTCTTTCTGCATCTCGGAAATGGTGTGGGGCAGGATGTCGACCATCAGAGCTCTGGTCATGTCGTCGTTGTGCTCACGCATGAGGAAAATTTGCATGAATAGACCTTCGATGGCTCTGATGCTTCGTGCTTTCAACTCAGGCCTTCCGAGTCTAGCCTCAACTTCGGACGCTGTCATCAAGAGCTGGCCTTTGATGGACTTCATTTCGGCCTCGAGCATTGGCTGCACAATTTCCTCATCCGCCTCGTAGTGAGCCCAACGCCCGGCATGGTCGAGTCGCACCCGTTTTCTGGGATATCTCCAGCGCATTTCAACACGGAATGTCATGATTCTCGCAAGCATCTCGTCGAGAAGAGCCTGCTTGGCCCTTTCGAACAATGGCTCAAGGTCGTAATCCCTCACCAAAGCGTCCACGCCGCTGTACGCTAGCTCTTCTGCCAGCTCGCTGTCCCAACCTCGGGGTCCGACCTTCTAGAACAGCCCCTGGATTGAATCCTCATTGGCGAACGGCAACGACTGGAAGGCATCCATTCTCTCCTTCACTTCCAAGTCGGCGTACAAAGAAAAACGCTGGAATCGTTGGCCGTCGTACTCAATCATTGGCCCAAACGCTTCCAGGAGCCACGCCTTAAACTTGGCTTCGTCGTGCCACCATTCATAAGGGAACCAGCCCGCAAAATCGCAGAGATCTCGGAGAGTGAAGTGGTCGGCAGGGTGGACAGGACGAGGGAGTCGCTGGTTGTCGCTCTTGCGCTGTCTCAGGGGACCTAACCCTTTGTATGTGGTCTGCCACACTCGGCAATGGCTATGGTTGACTTTAACAACGTGGGGCCGCCACGCTTTCGTTCCTTTCCGAATATCGGTGACAATAAAGTCTTCAGGGTCGTAGTCCTCATACTTAATTCCGCATTGGAAGCCCCTCACGAAACACTCAAGAATGTAAGCCAAAATCTTCAAACGGGATCCATCACTCATGTCGAGGATGCCGTGCTCTGAAGACTCGTCGTCGGTGTCGTAAAGAGGCTGCGGGTCGGGATCGGGGTAAAGGCGGCCGGATTCATCCTCGCGTTCGCAGAGGTCTTCTATATAAACGCCGTCAATGAATTCCATGGCGACGGCGCCAGCGTACCTAGCTCCACCATCCAGCTCAACTCCCCAGGTGCCGTGATATTCTGGGGCAAGGCGCAAGCCGCCGGTGAGTTGCATGACTGAAGGTAACTCTCTGCCTCGTTCGTCTCTTCCGACTTCGTGCATGTATGACAAGGCCGTCGCCTCGCGACTGAGATCTTGATCGGCCACCACCTCAGGTGGATAAAGTCGCGGGATAGTGATCAGTTGGGGGTAGCATTCATAATCGAACACTTTGATAACAATTCGATCGCCGATTTCCAGAGGGGCATGTAGCCTAGTTTCTTCAGAAGGGGCACCCAAAACCTCACAAAGAAGAACCTGGGGGCCTTTGTTGAAGCCACCGGAGAGAGTTTTGATAACCGAAAGGCGGAGCTTTTGGTCGGCGCGGGGATTGGCCTTTGGGTCAAATGAACTGGGGTGGATTTGAAGAGTTTTGGGGACGGGTTCTTTTCGCCGGCCTGATTTTGTTGAGAAAGGCCATGGAAAGTGATTGAACCCGTAGGGAAGTGTGATCTTGTCCATAGGCAGGAGTGTCAGCTCCTTGCCCGCAACGTAGGAGCCGTCCTCTTTCGATGCCGTGGAGGGTGGCCATGATGGGAGGGTGAAAGAAGACGCCAGACGAGCTACAGGTAGGTGTGATGATGACGCGGTGGTCTCGCGTTGAAGAGTAGTGGATTCGTGGTGCTTTCGACCTTTACGAAGAGCAGATTCTTTGCTAGGTCTCTGAGTTGTTGATCGATCGAGGAATGATGTGGAAAAGTGGTTATGTCTTGGAAGTTTTTGCGTGCGACAAAGGCTGGGCCTGCGCCATGCGAAAGAGGATAGGCGCCTGAATTCTGATAAGTAGGTGAAGAAATTGGGAACGGAGATGACAACGGAAAGAAAGAACGTACTCTTGCAATTTTGTTGTTGTTTCTCCGAAGAGCTATCAGCCATCCATGGCTGGATGAAGTGGACGACTGACCGTCGGGGTGGTGGAAGGAAATTTCGGAGAAAGCTTGACGGGAAAAGGCTGCAGGCAACGAAAAAAAAGTTTCCCTCCCGTCCAGCTATGGGCGTAATCAGTCACAGCTGTGAAATATTCGGAAGTACAAAACAGAAGCTGCCTGATTTTCCCGTGTATGGGCGGCTAACTTTCCATGTGTACGTGATGCATGAGGAGGACGATGAGGGATGGCAACAACCGCGATGAAGACGATAACGACGATAACAGCTAAAATAAGCAAGTCGCCTCACCTGGATGCTTATCGGCGACATTACACGCGTAAACTCAACCCGGCCTGCTCGACGAAGTGGAGGTGTCGACCATGCATCGGGTCAATGGATTGCTCCTCAATGCCTACGCTGGATATTGCGTCAACCGGAAAACACTTCGATACTGCCTTTCCATCGTCCTCCGTCAGCTCCATCTACAACGCTCGGTCGCTTTGTTTCCGTAGTATTTCGTCTTCTGGCATCAGCATCGCGTTGTCCCAATCTCAATCAAAATGGCCCAACACGCAGGGTATCCCAAAGAAAATTGCCATCACGCTTTTGGTCTACCATGTGCCATTTGACGAGGGTTGGGTTCTTTTTCCCGCGAGATGCAACAGGATGGTCTTGGTCTTCTTGTTGGTTATATAATACTCATACAATTCTCTGCTCTTCCACTCGCAGCAGGTCTCGTGCCCTTGTCTTCCGTCATTGTCTCCGTCGTCCTCCGTCTTTGTCACATCGGCTGAAGGGGTCCTTGGCTATGTCTTTTGTCACATCTGGTCCAATATTCCTGACACCGACATTTACGTCCTCGTTGTCGTCCTCCTCCTCGCCCATCACAATATTGCCGTCGCTGTCCATGCGCTAGTCCCATTCTCATCCGGCCTTGCGATGCCATTGAGGGTCATCGTCTTTTCGGAGGTATACTGGACGAGCCAGCTGTCTTCGGAAACGTGGGCGCGCAGGTAGGCAGTGATCGCCGGTCACAAGTGGGTTTCCTACAACCCGACGTTGTTGGTCTCGCTCATAGTCGGGCGAGACTCTCCGGCGGCACTGACAACCAGATTCAGGGGGAGGATCCCGGTGTTCACCGTTTCACGGCACAATTTGATGTCGGCGTCGAAGCTGACCAGATGGAACGATTCCGGGGGGTAGGTGTTCTCTACCAGCTTGCTAATCTTCGACAGGTGAAGTTCGTCGAAGTTTCTTGCTGGGTAGTAGGCTTCAGGAACCAGGCCATGACCGGTAATATGGAACAGTCGATGGGTCTGGGCCTGGCCTGAAAGCGAATCCCGATGACCGTCGGGACATCGCTGCTGCTGCGTTCGTCCTCAAGACACGTTTGTGTGTGTGTGCGTGAGAGAGAGAGGGCGTGTGTGAAAAAGAGAGAGAGAGAAAGAGAGCAGGTGAGAGGGCAGGTGTGAGAGGACAAGTGTGAGAGCAGGAAGGCGGATGGCTTCTGAGGGCGGGCAGGTTTGAGAGCTACCTTAGGTACCTTACGCTCCGAAAATTTTGCTGGACGCCGGGTTTGGGCCCGAAGGTCCTCAACCTCGCCCCTCTTCATGCTTAACCGAATTCACCTCCATTCCCAAAGAGCATCACACCTTGAAAGTTCCATATGAGGAAGCAGATCACCAACGACTAACAGAAAAGGCGCAAGAGAAACCCAACTCGTCGTGGGGGGTATTTATTCATACAACTATCACACACACACTACTCATCACCTGACAGTGATGTGCTGAATCGCAGCCTTCCACTTCTGCTCGTCCGTCCTGCACTCATCGTTAGTACTCCCCATCCACAGACTCAAACCGGAGCGGTGAAACTTACTTGTCAAACTTCAAAATCCGCCCGAGAACAGGAACCAACTGCTCCCTCAGCTTATTATCCTTCTGCTCCAAGAACTGCAGCAGGATCGTCTTCAGATACAAGCTATCCGCCGACGACGCCGACGCACCCCCAGGCGCAGGTGACCCTGTTCCATTGAGGCCTCCAGAGCGACTCGACTCGACCGAGCTCCGCCCCGACGTGACGCTGGCGCCAAGCTTCGCCTGCATCGTCTTGAGCTCCTTGTTGACCTTGTCGAACCGCTGCTTCGACTCCTCCAGCAGCCGTCTGAGATCCGACTTCTGCTTCTCGGCGTCGCGGACCTGCTGCTCCGACGCGTCGAGCGTGGACTGGATATCCGACACTGCCGCCCGCATCTCGCTGACCTCGGCCTCGGCCTTCTCCTCCACGGCCTCGAGCTCCTCGCGCCGCTTGCGCCATTCGCGCTCCTTGCGCTCCAGCTCCTCCTTCTCGCCAGACAGCGTCTTGATGTCGCGCTCCAGGTCGCGGATCTTCTGCTTGAGCTCCTCCGTCTCGCGCGTTTTCCGTCTGGCGAGCGTGCTCGACTCGTCCTCGATGCGGTCGCGCTCCTCGATCGCAGCCTCCATGCGTGAGCGCATCTCGCGCACCTTGCTGTCGGCGCGCTCGTCCACGTCGGCCAGCAAGCCGCGCATGCGCTCCGCCTCGCGAGTCCGCTCGGTGAGGTGCTTCTGGATCTCGGCGAGTTCCTCCTCAAGCGACTCGGATTGCGAGCGGGCCTCCTTGAGCTGGATGGTGAGCTCCGCCGTCTGGTCGCGCATGCTGCCGAGCAGGCCTTGCGCGTTGGTGTACTGCTGCGTCTTGAGGTCTGCCTCGTCTTGCAGGCTCTTCTTCTCCTTCTGCAATTTCTCCACCTCGTCTTCGAGCTCCTTGACCCGCGGGCGGAGCTTGTTGGCTTCTTCCTGCACCTTTTGCAGCTCCTGCGCCGCCTTCTCCTGCTTGGCGCTGAGCTCGACCTTCTCGGCCTCGGAGCGGCGGAGGTCGCGGCCCGATACCCTCTGGGCGTCCTCGAGGCGGAGGCGGTTGTTGGTCTCGTTAGTGAGCTTCTCGCGGAGGGACTTGATCTCTGTCTCGCGGTCTGCGGCAAGGCGCTGTGTGCGGGCGACGTCGGCCTTGAGGTCCTTCTCCTTCTTCTCGAGGTTGCGGAGCTCAGTATTCTTGGCCGAGAGCTCATCCTTGGCGGTCTTGAGAGCCGCAGAGTCTTGACGCAGGCTCTTCATTTCAGGCTGGGCCTTCTGAAGGACTTCACGCAACTCGGTAAGGTCCTTGTAGCGGCTCTGTGCCAGCTGCTCGGCCGCGCCCAGGTCGGATTGCAGAGTTGAGGACTTGGTCTTGAGGTCGTCATACTCGCGCTGGAGGGTGTCGAACTCGCTCTGCAGCTTCTCGGTAGCCTTGGCATCGTTTGCGGACGATCCCAGCTCCTTCTCCAGCTCCTCGATCCTCGTCTGTAGCTCCTTCTTCTCGATCTCAAGGTTCTTGATCTTCTCCTTAGCCACCACGTGTTCCTGGCCAATATCGGTCAGCTCGTCACGCAAGGTGTCAATCTCCTCGCGAAGATCCTCCTCCGTCTTGCGCTGCTTCGTCAATCGGTCGATCTGGGAATCCTTTGTGGAGACCTCCTCCTTCAAGCGGGTAATCTCAGCCTCCAAAGCCTCTGTGTCGGACTCCTTTGACTCCTCCGCAGGCGAGGGCTGTTCGGCAGTGCTTGTCGCAGGTGCCGGAGTAGCAGCAGCGCCGCCCTTCTTCTTCTTTTTGTTCTTCTTGTTGTTCTTCGAAGCACCACCCGCACCGGCAGCAGGGGTCTCAGTTGGCGCAGGGGTTGTTGGTGTAGCAGGCACCGGCTCACTCTGCTTCTCCAGCTTCTTAGTGAGCTCGTCGATCTTCTTCTCGTTCTCAGCCTTCTCCTTCTTGACAGTTTCAATCTGGCTGTTCAGAGTTGCGATCTTCTTCTCGACCTCGGCCTTGGAAGCCAGGACCTCCTTGACTCGCGCCTCGCCCTTGTCAGCCCGCGTGTTTGCCTCGGACAACTTCGATTGAGCGGCCTTGGCGTCCTTGGTGGCAGTTTCGAGCTCACCCTTGAGCTTGCTCTCGACATCCTTAAGCTGCTTCTGCGAGGTCTCCAGGCGCTCGGTCAGCGTCTTGATCTCGGTGTTCCGGGCGTCGAGTTGTGTCTGGAGGGAGTTCTTGACGGCAGCCTCATCGCGCAGCTCGCTGGCCTCCTTGGTGATCTTCTCGAGGCTCTCAGTCAGATCCTCGCTGGACTTCTTGGCAGACGCGAGCTCGGTCTTTAGAGAGGTGACTTCGGTCTTGAGCTTCTCGATTTCCTCCTCCTTGGCAGCCACGTCAGCCTCGTACTTGGGAGCTTCCTCGTCGTATGAGAAGAAGTCGCCAGCGTCGTCGGGCTTGTCCTTGTCCGCCTCTGGTTCCTGCGGCTTCTGCTTCGGCGAGAAGATGCCCAGCGCCTGCTGCAGGGGCGACTTGGCGGCGTTAAGGTCGGGGGATTTAACAGAGCCATCGTCCTTAGTGTCCGTCGCAGCGTCGACCTGTTCCTTGGTTTCGGCCTTGTCCGCCGCGGGCTCAGGCTTAGCAGCCTTGAGCTCCTCGACCTCCTTCTTCAGCGTCTCCACCTCCTTCTCGGCTGCCTCAAACTTCTTCTTGAACTCGTCCTTCTCGACAGAGACGCGCTTGTACTCGTCCATAATCATCTGCTCCTTCTGCTTCAAGGAGTCGAGATACTCGACGAGCGCATCGGGTTCTCTAATCGAGCCGACACTGGTGTGCTCCTTAAGCACCCGCTCGAACGGTTCGATGGAAGTTGCGCGGCCGTGGGCGATCCGGTACGACCGGAGAAGTTCTGGGGAGCGTAAGCGCTGACCTTGCAGCATGAAACATCGTACCCACCAGGATATGTCTTCTCGAGCTTCTCGAGCTTGCGCAGCTTAGTCCGCACCTCGGGAGACAGCTCCGGCGCAGCAGCAGGCGCCGCACTGGCCGCGCCAGCGTCGCCCTCCTTCTTCTCGTCTCCATTCTGTCCTGCCTCCTCGACCTTCTCCTTCTTCTCGTCGGTCTTGTCCTCCATCGTCGGAGGTTTGGGTGTTCCTGCCCTGCTGGGCTCTTCGCTGTCGTCCAGCACGAATGCCGCCTCGAAGACGGCCGGGTCGGGGTTGGACGGGCTGTCGCCGTCCTTGGTGTTGTCCTGGCTGACGTTCTTCTTGGGCCGGGGCCGTCGCGCGGGAGACTGGTTGCCTCGCGACGTCGAATCCGACCTGCGCGGCGTCCCAGAGTCCGGGCCGAGTGCCTTGCGTGCCTGTTCCTGGCGTGCCTGTTCCTCCGCGATTGTCCGATCGATGGCGCCCTTGATCCTCTGCAGTCCCATCATGTTAGCTGCCTGCAGTCGCGAGGGCACAGTAAAAAAAAGGACAACTGGGACGTGATTTGGACAAGTAGATCGAAATCAAAAAAAAGTTTCCGCTGGAGACGCACCTGGAACATGTTTGCCGATCAAAGGGATGGATGGGATCACCCTGTGACCATGGATTCGTTTATTCTGGCGGGAGGGTCGTTCGAAAGAGAGAGCTATGGTCTGTCGACGATGGAAGGGAGCTGCATTATCGGTGGTGGCGGCAAGTATAGGGATCTCGTAGCGCAATAGCCAAGGACCAGCAGGAGGAAATCGTTTGGTGATATTGTTCTGGGCCAAGTTGTCGGCGTGCCGTGGCTTGCGAAGGGTATTCAAGGGACAGCAGAGGTCCCTACATACATTTCATTTCACAGGTGTCCTCAGCCAGCTGCGCTGTTCCAGGTGCTCCCCCAAAGTTTGAGGCAGGGTCAGCACGGACGGTGGGGACCTCTCACAAGAGGCCGCGTTAGCGTTCAGCCTCGGCACTAGCCACATTTCGTGCAGCAATTCTCCAGCTGCCAGCAGATGCGTCTGCACAGCGACCAAAATAGAAATCAAAATGCGACCACAGCAGCAACCCGGAGACCAGCTGGCGAAACGGATGTTGAAGTATGTGTCTTCGTGATTCTGCAATTATGTATGAAATGTTGCTGTAGCTAGCTGACGGCGCATTCGCCATAAAATATCCCGCATCCACTTACTTTCCACCCTTGCCCTTGCGCTTCTTGGACCCCGATGCTCCCTGTCTACCCGTGGTCTTTGCGCCAGCTCCATGAACATCGTCATCAGCGTCTTCCTCCTTAATCTCCACGCTCGACACTTCGTCATCAGATAATTTGAACTCCTCGCCGACCGACACGTCACTTGCCGGGGCCCGCGAGCCGAGAACCTCCCTCATAATCCGCTTGCCCTCGTCCATTTCGCCGTTCTTCGCACCGCAACCCATGCATCTCCAGGTTCCAAGCTCGGAGAGAGACTTTGTGCCGGGGGGCGCCTGGCCGTTGACCAAGCGGCAATGCGCGCAGATAAGTACGATCCTGTTCTTGGACGCCGTCTCGTCCTCTCCGAGGAGAAGATCCATGATGCGATCGTACCAGTGGGACGAATTGACGCCATCAACCTGGACGAACTGTTGCGACTGCGGCGGCGGGGGCGGAACATGGCCGCCGCTGTAGGCATTGGGGGCGAATTCTTCGCTGGGCTCGAGTCCATTGGGTTGCGGAGATGGGGAGAGGCGTTGCTGCTGGAAACCCTGAGGCATACCCGGAGGAGGCGAGCCAGCGCTGGGACGCTGGATATTGGCAGTCGGCGGAGGAGGCATGTTGGTACGACCTCCTTCATGCTGCCTAGGAGCTTGCTGACGCTGCTTCTTCTCCTCGCCGTCTCCGCCCTGCTTCTGCTTCTGCTTCTTGTTCTCGCCGCCGCCATATTTCTCGAGGAGTTCGAGGGTGGTGTCGTACTTTGTGGCGTCCTTGAGCTTCTGGATCGTCTTGGCTCGGTCGGCTTGCTGTTCCTTGAGGCGGTTGGACAGGGTGTCGATTCGGTAGTTGAAGAAGGCCGTGACGGTGGTTCGGGTGAGGTAAATTCTGTTCCCTTGTAGTCAGCTTTCCGCGATGCGCAAACGGAGTCCGCGGGGGGCACATACACGACCGGACCTCCACAAACGCCAACCCACTCCCACATGCCCATGCCGTTCCATCCCACCACGAGGAAGATGACGATCGAGTAGACGAGGTATGCGAAGGCGAGGTATAGAGACCACAGGACTCTGATGCGGCGAGAGGTGTTGCGCGCGCCGTCAAGTCGGCCCTGGGTGTCGGTGATCTTCGCCGAGAGGGCGGAAAGGGTCTTTTCGAAGGAGGCGGGGGAGGAGTCTTCGCCCTGGAGTTGAGGTCAGTCAATATCTGTCGCAAAAGCCCTTGGTCGCGATGCAAGACAGTGCAGGGTTTGGGGAGGCGTGGACGTACCCTCCAAGGCCAAAAGGACACCATGGTGAAGAAGAAGAGATGCGACCACGTGCCGATGTCAAAGAGGCATTTCCCCAGCTGTCAAGCCAGCAACAACCAGAAATTGAAACGAAAAGAAACAAATAAGGAGGGAAATGTCAAGGAGATTGATGCGATGCAATGCGCAGGTGTAGAGATCAGACGAGCAGAGCCGTGGGAGGAGGCCCGTGGCAGCAGCAGCGATGTTGTAAAAGGAGCGGGAGGCTGAAGGGAAGCCGGGGGTTGGTAGAGATGGTGGTGGTGCTGCTGGCGGCGGTGGTGGTGGTGGTGACGGCAGGCGCAGGTCACGGCCTGAACGGGACAGGTGGAGGGAGCTTCGCAGCCTTCGCTTGTGGTTCTGGAACGAAAAATGCCTGGCGAACAAGGCGCACCTGCCAGCTGTTATGACGCACCTGCCGACCTAGGCGCAGCAGCTGAACCTGCTCTGTTCGGTGGGAGAAGGTGGGTCCAAGCTTCTGAAAGGCGCTAACCAAGAGCTGTGTTAGCGCATCGGTGAGCTGTTGGCTCGATCTGCCAGGTGTGGGGTGCCACTTTGGCAACCTCACCGACTTCACCTTGAGAACGGAGCACTCACCGAGTAGATGATATATTAGGTGATAGTTTCGTTATAAACATAGTAATTGTCTAGAACATGCGCACATATGACATCTTGAACGCCTTATGGCTTTTCATCCCCATCTAGCACCCACTCCTGGGGTTCTGAATTGATTCCACCAGCTGGGAAATCAAGGGCAGGACCTCATGAGATTCCTTAACGGGCTCGAAAATACATGGTAATCTCTGCTCCATCTTAGTCCCAAATGCGCGAATTTCATCAGAAAACCTCTTATCTTCAAGCTCAATATTAGCATAGACAGCCTTGAGCGTGTCAGCTTTATCTTTCAGCTGCTTCACGCCGGGGTGAGGTTTATTGTAGTCGCCCCAGGTTTTCCAGATTTATTTAAGGGACCGCCTAGTTTTCTTTTGTCAGCATGAATATATTTCCTGTGTAGTTAGAGAGATGGCAACAGGAGCAATGGTAATACTAATAACAATAGCGGCGACGACGATAGTTAGGTGAAGTATGTGACCACAGGAAGATTAGTCGCTTCAGTAGGGGATCGTGCGGTCTCTTGTGTAATCAACGTTTCGGGCTCTGCCTTCTCCCGCGGTTTGGGGGACTTGGGGGCGTTTTCGGAGGTCACTGTGAGTGGTTGAAAGGATCTGGTGATTGTGAAGCAGAAACTTATGAAATGCCGTGAGAAAATGATAAGGAGTAGCGGACTTGGGTGTTCCCTCTTTTGTAATATGGCATTGGCGCAATCCATCATCTTACTTGGCGGCTCAATGACATTGTTCATCAACAAAGGCTTAGGGTCAACTCGGTGGTCGCTGAAGCCTGTTGATGCCAGGTCTTTGTTGCTAGATTGTCAACGGTCCTTTCTCAGGAGCCTCGTTGTATCGCACTCAAGCGCTGAGACAATCTTTATTCATGTTGTTTGGATAATAGGTTGTTCCCCAGGACAATATGCTCTCCTAGCACAGCGGCATTGAAGAGCTTGCGGGTTCCCCAGCGAGACAGCTTCAAACTTCCAGGAAGTTTCACTATATATCAACTCAAACTCCCCCCAAATGCTCATTTTAATTCTTCATACGATCTTTCACACCAGTACACAGATAAACTGACGAATAGACCCCCAGAAATGGATTGGAACGCTCACCTCGAGTTCCTCAGAGAACTCATCATCTCCGCAGCCATCCTCACTTTCGGACATTACACCAATATCATCCCCTTAACATCCTTCCTCGGCGTCTCAAGCCCAAATTACATCCTCCCCCCGCTATCCGTTCTGATCGGCCATCTCCTCTGGCACATCTTCGCCCCGGACGCTCGTCCGGAGGATCCAACTGAGTATCTCATCCTTGCGCGGGCGTACTTCTTCAACTTCGCGATTCTAATGTGGGCCATCTTTCTTTTCCCATTTCTCTTCGTCGCTTTAGTCTCTGCCATAGGCCTTGTGTTACCGTTCGTCGTTTTATGGGGAGTTTACCGATGGTACAAACCTAAACCTGCGCCAGAGGTTGACGAGTTTGGATGGAGGCACGACGTTAACACGACTAGACTGAGGGAGCCCTACGCTTTGGACGACTTCCCTGAAGATAACGTGTTTTTGAGGTTTGGATTTTCCAATCAGTAACGGACATCATTTGTTGACAGGTGTAATCAATTGAATGCCAACTTCGTCTAAAGTTGCGCTTTGCTCTCAGGGTGACTGTGTCTGCCGCACCTCCAAACAAGTATCTCATCGATCTCCGCCCCGACTTCAAGGACGGGCTCCTCACGTCCAGTGAATTGAAAGTTGCTTTGAGGTGCCTCGAGATCCAAGACGCGTCAGTTTCGCGTTATATTACCACGAGGTGCCTACCCATCACCAAATTCACTACCACCAAAGCCGCCTTCTGCCCGACATCCCAGGCACAAACCTCACCTTAGACGGCTTTCAATTCACCACGCAACGGCTTCAGACCGGCCTCGTCCTTCTTTCCTCCTATTTTACCCTCCCTCCCCATTCCCATCTCAGACTTTTTACCTTTTCTCCCTACAACGAAAACAACCTCACAGACTCAAATCTTCAGTCTTGTTCTATCACCAACAATCGACTTTCCTTGGGGCTGGACCCGTCTCATTCGCATCCCTCCTCTTCTCGTCGGGACCATCCCCAAAACAAACTTCATTCTCATAGTCTCCTTTTCGCCTGACTTCGACTCCCTTCGTCACAATGGTGTCCTTGCGCGACATCCTCCCGTTCAGCACAAAGGTCTGCGTGATGAAGCGCTTCCGCTCAGACGGCAGCGTCGAGCTGTACTGCGAGCGGCCTACCAAGGCAAACGCCAGCCGGTATGTCCATGACCCCAAGACTTACTTCGTTGTCCATCACCACTGACCAAACCAGGGACGAGTGCATCGAGTGCCTTCCAGTCGAGGATTGTCAAGAGATTTACGGCTTGGACCCGACTCCTGTCTTTGCTACCTCCAAGCGCGAGTACTACACCGTGGATGGACAACTCTACTCGCGCCCCGCTCAAGAGTCTGCACGTTCTTCGCAGTCGTCCAACAGCTCAAGCAGTTCTCGAGATCGCAATTACGAATCGAGACAATCTCACCATTCCCGGTCCACAGCACCCGTCTTGCGACTGGGAAACCCCGTCACCGATAACTCGACGCGCATTACGGACGCAGGAAACAACCGATATACAGAGCGCCATGCAAGCCGCTTGTCCAACAATGGCTTCATCCTGAACGGCAATGGAAACACAATCAACTTTCACAACAACCGCACGCACCTCAACTATTCAGGCAATGCCACTTCCTCCTACCGTGAGGATCGCCGGTACAACACACACTCCGCGAGCCAGAACCGTCACCCCAGCCCAGACGTCGACCAGCGGACAAGAGACTACTCTCCTCCCCGTGAGCGCACCCGCGAGCGCTCCGACTTCTCCGCCGCCGAGCAAGCAGCCTGGGAGGAACGCCAGTGGCGAAAGCTTCAAGAGGAAGAGTACGCGCGCGACAGATCACCTTCGCCTTGCTATGACTACAAAGGCGACCGCGACCACCGTGTGAACCGGGAAAAGGGTTCCTGCTACAGACGCCGCGAGGACAGTCGCGGAAGATTGTCAACGGTGTACCACGACTGCGAAGACCGTGCCGATCGTTCCCGCTCCCGCTCCAGACGTCGCGATGACAGCCGCGGCAGAATTAGTTCCACTTACTACGACTACACCGACAACCGTGACGAGCGCGAAGAGCCTCGTCGCTCCAGTCTTCGCGAGCGCAGTCGTCGCGAATACAGCCGCGCGAGATCTCCTTCTCCTAACTCCGATTCCGACGACAACCGCAACGATCGCGACGTCAGCGAAGAGTGCCCCCGCTCCCACCGCCGTCAACGCAGCGATTCGATCGAGGTCCTCGACTCCCGGTTCATCTACGCTGGCAGTGGCGAATTCCAGGGTGGTGATTGGATCTACGCCAGCCAGAGGGAATACAGCGCCGATGGCGGCTTCACCTACGTTGGCGAGGGTCGCTACGACAGCGATGGCAGGGAGTACAGCCTCTGAAGAGCTGTCATACGAGAGAGAACTCGGGTGTGATTCTGGTTTTGCTATAGTAAAGAGCGCGCGGCATGACAGCAAGGCGTTGGTGGGAAAAGCATGGCAAACAGACGCATGGAGCGTGAATTGGTATGACATGGCACGGTATTGGTTTGGAGTTTTTGGTTTCTTTTGTTCTAGGGTTCTGGAAGGGCATTGTTCTGGCATGTCATCAAGTCTGAACGATCTGAGCTGGTCTCGATCAAAGAACGTAGATACGATGATGAATAAGGTAGATAGACATTAATATGGTGACAAAGACTCCAACAATGGGCCTGAATTTTTCCTGATAATCATTTGGTTGTTCTTGTATGTTGTGGCATCGTCCCGGAACAAGAAAGAACGGTATGATCAAATGGAGCAACAATCTTTGATCAGTGAATGGCGATAAAGGCAAGCTTATGAGTTTGGAACAGATAAGCAGCATGCAGGCAAGTGGGCGTAGCTAACCCAGCCTATCTTAGGTAATGGCACGACGTTGCAATCATTCATCATCACATCCGCATTTGTTTATTGCAGCTGCGGGGGAATGAAACCTTGAAAGGTAAACACCTCAGTCTCGAAGTTGACCTATTGCTGGAGTTGTTTCGTCTCGATCCAGTGCTCGACGCCACCGACAGCTCCTCCCTATCTCATTTACACAGAAGTTTGCCCTTCGCCTCGACGGACATTTCCACCTTCTTCAAATCAAAATCGCCCCTCTGCTGGTATACTGCCTACCTTTCGACGACTCTCCACAAACATGGTTGAGACAGCTCCGTCCTCGCACGAGGTCCCCAAGCTACCGCGTGGCCTCAAGAGCCCCGTTCACCCTGGAAAAGACTGGAATCGTTTGGGGAAAGGAACCTGGTTCCACGGGCGACCAGAGACAGACGTCTCACAAACTTCTCATCGACGCTTACCGGCTTCGCATGGACGACAGGTGGGACATCGCCAAGGTCAAGGAGCCTGGCTCTCTCTACGTCCCTGGGGCAACTGACGGCAAGGAAGGATTCCGCATCTTCCTGGACAAAGCGGAAAAGACGAAGTCCGAAGAGGGCAACCCTATGTTGCCAACGTGGTAGAACGCGGAGAAGCGCAAAGAGTGCGAAGCTCTTGGTGCTGACACGACGCAGTGGTCCAGCTTGGCGAAGAAGGTCAAGAAGTGGGATATTCACACCCACTACGACGACATGGCTTTGGCTATGCAACTGCGGTGCGTGGGTGAGAAGGTCTATAACCTTTTGGTAGACGGAAGACGGATTGCCAAGCTTCCGGATTATTTGTTTGAGGGGGATTCGGACAATGAGTTTGACGAGTTCGATTCTGACAGTGACGAGTGGTACACTGATTCTGATTGAGACGAAGGGCTCTCCGATAACGGGATGATGGACGAAAACCGCTCTTGTTATTCTTCCCCATTTATAATAGATATGATACTTTTGTTTCTCGAAACATGGAGCCAGCGGCAGCGCGTTGCTTTGACAGGCTCGGAACGTCCCCAATGCCAAGCATGACGGAACTCCCACGGCCCACAAAGCCAAGCATCGCCGGAGCCACAAGCAGGATATGAACGCATGCTTCTTTATATATTGGGGGCTGAAAAGAAATCGATCATGAATACTTCAGTCCTGCAGACGTTGGTCTGTAATACATACATATTCAAGTCTCACTCGGAGTCACATTTCGACCGTCAAGAAATCCGATCGTGGCTTAGACGGAGGCAAATGAAAATGCTCTTGTCGCCTCGATCCACGCCATGCAACCTGTTTGAAGTGATATGAGATCACAGGAAACAGACGAGATGCTCATCCTTCCTCTTCTCAATGATTTGCAAAGATGGTGGCAAGAGTTCTTGCATATGGTACGAACTAATGAGTAGGTACGAAATTGCCGCCATCGGTTGGATCCAGCATACCATACAATATCGACTGGGTGCAAATCGCTTCCGGACCCGTTTCCCAGCTTTCGCTTACAACCATCGCCGATCGAGGTTGCGTCTTGGCCCGACAGAGGTCCCGCTTGAAGGGCTCAAGATCGGTTGTTTGTCCCGGAACGGCAAGCTTCGACCGCCGATTGTCGGAGTAGTCCAGCGGGTTGCTCCGTGTCGTCAAGATGAATGTTGTAAGTCGCACTATAAAACCAAAAGAAACGACCGTTGAAGTTGTGGTTTATTTTGTACTATGCTAGAAGGTTTCTACTTAGATCTGATAAGTCCGCCTGGCTTCCCAAGGTCTTCGTCAAGCTCTTCATCAAGATGCATACCATGAAAATCAAGGCGGCAGCCTTCGTGCTCTTGGGAGCATCGACTCTAACACAGGCTGCGCGTAACCATACAGACTTTGTCCAGCCAATCCAGAATCAAGCTCTCGGCGCCCTCAAGAACGCAGAGTCTGAGGCAGTACGGTATAGGAACAGTACCTGTACGCTGGAGACCGCAGGAGTGAGGAGAAACTGGTGAGTATGCTACCTGACATACTGAACCGCGACGGCTTTCCTGACGTCATATTCAATAATAGGGACGATTTGGATGCAAGCCAAAGGAAAGAGTATATCAGCGCCGTCAAATGCCTTCTCTCTTCTCCGTCTCAAACAGACCCAGCTCTGAACACCGGTGCCCGTACGCGCTTTGACGACTTCGCTGCGCAGCATATAAATCAGACCATGAGCGTTCACGTAACTGGAAACTTTCTCACCTGGCATAGACATTATGTCTGGTCTTACGAGCAAGCTCTCCGGAACGAGTGCGGTTACTCTGGCTACCTTCCGGCAAGTCATCTCCCGTAATTGGTCTTCTATTTGGACCCTGGACTAACAACGCGCAGTACTGGAACTGGTTCTCACACCAGGACGACTTGAGAAAGTCTCCAGTTTTTGATGGTTCAGAGACCAGCATGGGCTCCGACGGACTCTTCGTGCCGCACAACGGGTCCATCGGTTCCGCCGGTCTCCACATCCCTTCCGGTTTGGGAGGCGGCTGCATCGCGACTGGGCCTTTCGCCAAGTACGTTATTATCACTGAAAACCCTCTACCTTTGACAAGGGATTGACAAAATCCAGTTTGTCTGCAAACCTCGGCCCGGTCCAGCCTCAACAAGACGGCATCGTCGGCGTCGGCACCGCCGAGAAGCTCCGCTACAACCCGCACTGCGTGAAGCGAGACCTCAGCAGCTGGCTTGCAACACGCATCTACACCGAAGACGCCTTCCTCAACGCCACTGTCCGCGACACGGCAAGGGACATCGCCAGCTTCCAATCCGAGATTGACAGCCAGAGTGCGGGACTCCCGGGCATCCACGCCGGCGGCCACCAGACCATCTCCGGCTCCAACTCGGACCTCTACTCGGGCGTTGTCGACCCTGCCTTCTACCTGCATCATACCATGGTTGACCGCATGTACTGGCTCTGGCAAGCGCTGCACTACTCTCAGGCCAAGACGATCTCCGGCACCATTACGTTCGGGAACAGCCCGCCCAGTCGGAACGCTACGCTGGAGGATATTATTGAGTTGCCCTTTTTGGGTGCGGAGCCTGCGACTCTTGGAAGTCTGCTGGATACTTTAGACGGACTCTACTGCTACGTCTACGCATAGAATTCCAGAGCATGTAGTCGATCGTCATTGCGACGTTCGTCATAGAAAGAAGAATTCGCCGGGTGAACCAAAAAAGAAAAGAAGAAGAAGAATAGGAATGACAATATTCATGATCGAGAAGGCGAAAGTGAAGAAATTGGATGAACCGCATGACTAAACAGAACGAGATCATCGGGGGTATGCCGACTCTCGGCCCGCTTCGCTACACGCATCCTTCCTAATGGTAAGACTCTCAAAGTAAGTGACCCCTGCGTGCCGATCTGCGTCGTCGGTATCGGCAACATCCGTATGATTAGTATTCTCAAGATCGTTCCAATATTATGATTTTGACCTATCCATTCATTGGTAAGGGCTGGCCGAACTTTTGTTAACGTCCCAGACTTGGTGCATGCAGTTGACAATGGCACAGGCGGTCGATTTGCGCACCACCGGCGATAACCCGAATTGGCTATATGATCCTAAGAAGGCCATTAATCTCTAAGCAACGGTGCGTAAATCTGCAGGCTTATCGGCAACTAGATCTCTTTTACCCTGAACAAATTCAATCTAAAATGGCTTGATCCATGGCGGCGGGAATTGCTCGTAACTTTATTTCGCACAGGAGGCTTGGGCATCGTATTGTGACCGGTGGGATAGGGGATTATTGCCGCAAGAAGTGTCAGTTACGAATAGTAATCAGGGCTGACAGCGGGCACACCGGAAATGAGTCCTCTGGACCACTGTAACATAATAAACTTTGTAATCCTGTTCAGATCGTAACGAATTACCTCATCCTTGCAGAATAGGCAACTCGCGAAATTGCAGCGGTCTCTGGGTCAATTCCGAGTGCCGTGGCTGTAGCTGAAAACGATAAACCTTGGTCCCTAATTTCAGACCGTGAACTAAGGTACACTACATATGTGAGCGAATATCACCACCATGTCCAAAATCGCCGACTTTTCGATCAGTCAAGTTTCTTGATTTCCACACTCCTTTGGTTCAACGCCACTTATTCATTCATTTGAAGACAAACTCGTTCAGTCACTCGTTAGACACTCGTTTATTGTTTTATTTTCGCAGAATATCACTAGTCATGTACATCCTGAACGCTCTCGCAGCTTTGCTGTATGTCTTGCCCGCCGCCCAGGCCCACGTTCCTAAGATTCGGGGCTATGCCTTGACGTGGGCCGACGACTTCAACGGTCGGCGCAACACCCTGCCAGACCCGGACAATTGGATTATCGACACCGGAACTTCTTACAACGGAGGACCTGCTCAGTGGGGTACCGGAGAAATTCAGACGTACACCAACGATATCAAGAACGTGCGCATGAATGGGAAAGGTAACCTCCAGATCACCGCTATCCGGAACGCCACTGGAACCTGGACGTCTTCGCGAATTGAGACTCAGCGTACCGATTTCATGGCTCAGCCGGGAGGGAAAATGATCATCCAGGGAAGCCTCAAGATCCCAGACCTCAACGGCCATGGAGTCGGTTACTGGCCGGCTTTCTGGACTCTGGGCGCTGAATATCGTGGCAACTACTGGTATGCGTTTCTTCTGTGTCGGAAATGAGCTTTACTCACTCGATCCCTAGGAACTGGCCCTCAATTGGAGAATTCGACATCATGGAGAATGTGAATCTCGTCGACCGTCACTGGGGTGTCTACCACTGCGGTACAAACCCCGGCGGACCGTGCGACGAGTCCAACGGCATTGGCAACAGCAGCACTTGTCCTGACAGTGCCTGTCCCGGCAACTTCCACACGTATTCTATTGAGGTCGACAGACAGAACACTCCTGAGACCCTGACATGGTTTGTCGATGGGGTTCAGTTTCACCAAGTGAACGAGACAGCCATCCCGGATGCCGTGTGGGAAAAGACCGTTCATAATCCCCACTTCATCCTCATGAACATGGCTATCGGAGGAGGCTTTCCCAACGGTGTTTACGGTTCCGAGACTCCCACCAACGCTACGGTGTCAGGTGGGACATATGAGGCTGAATATGTCGCTGTGTACAACTCATTCAACCACACTCGCCATGACTCTTAGCTACCCTGAACTCATCATGGCGCAGGCTAAGAGCAGGGAGAACAGATGAAGCAAAAGGGACATTTGATAACCAACTCCGGAGTCAAGCGCGTTGTCAGAGTTTCTGTTCGATTGACGGCCCTTCACATAGCTTACATACATGTATAATCGATACACTGCTGATTCAATGTCTCAAACAACGAGATCTAAAAAGCTGCTCGTTCAACACATGACCCACAATGCCCCATAAACCGACAGGGTAAATGGCGACATTTCGCCAAAACCAATGTCAACACCGTGATCGACCAACAACAACACCAACACAAAAGTTTCAACAGCTACGCCTGCTGACTGACGGATGGCTATGGCTATACAAATCTTTCAAGTCGGAATTTTGTCACATTGATGTTGAGCTAGACGACAGCTCGACTCAGGAATTTGACAAGAAATATTAGCAGCTTCACCCGATGTTGGGACGTACCGCCTATGCCGTAGCCCCCGTCGAAACTCCATCCACAATAAGCATGCGTTTGTCTTAGTGGTGAGGCTCTCCGGTCTCAGAAGCCAACGGCCCACATGTATCATAGGCGAGCAGCCTAGATAGGATGCCAAGCAAAGCAAATTTTCACTGCCAACATCAACGCCAAGAGAAGAACTTCAAATACGTACGGTAGCCGCTGTAAATGGCACACAGCGAATGCGATAGCCCCCATGACGGGGTCTCCACCACTGGCTGTCAAGGCTGACTCTGACTATGCCGCTGGGCATATGATGACAATAAAAGGCACCCATGAATCTGCGACCACTGTCTTCCCTCCCAGTTACTCGCTCTCACTCCTTACCTCTCTCCCCACCCGTCCATAATCCAAGGATCGGGATCTCCAGTCTGCTTCAGACAACGTCAGTCTATTTCCACTCGTACCAAATTCGACACACAGGCTCAAGATGAACTCAACCACTATTTGCCCGGACGCTTCCGGCATACCGGACTTCGTCAACATACACGGCATTCCAAGCAATATCAGCAGCGGCTTCGTACCCATCGGCCGCAATGGGTCATACGTGGCCATGTCGGCGTGCTGTTCACCCAGTGCTGTTAGCATTGCAAACGACTGTTATTATTGGTGCGAGATACCGACCGAGGCTTTCGACAGCTTTGGGTCATGTTTGATTCGCAATGGTTTAGAAAGAGGAATTGTTGGGCTTCATGAGAGCGGTACCGCTAGTTCAAAGGGTAGATTCAATGCTGGAGGATTGGCGGTATGGGCACTGCTTGCCACCAGCGGGTTGTGTCTGTGGTAGGAGGTGAACTGCCAGCTGACTGCTTGGTTGAAAAAAAGTCGCGATTGGAGCATCGCAGATTGAATCATCAAGATATTGGAATCAAGTTCAAGGACCCCTGTTCAATTTTCGTTTCAGCAGAACATCATCACACACTTGAACGAGCCAAGTCTATGCAGTCCATTGCAGTATGTGCCTTTACTAAGAAGGCCTCCAGATGTTTCCCACAGCATGCTCATATTTCGCGTCAATGTACACATTCCTCAATGGTCAGGAAACCATTGAAGTCAGAAATCAACGGAAAGAGTCATGTGATAAGCTACTCACCAACATAAGGATCCCCTCGCACGCCCGCTGACTAACATTCCTCAACGTGAACAGGTTTGAGGTGCCCATCCCAAGTAGCCTAGCCCGGTAAACTTCATACACATACAGCTCTCCGCGGCATTTTCCATACCGCTTGACGCTTTCCGACAACATTAAAATGCATCAAAGCCTTCCCTCCAGAGGTGCTCCACCACTGCCTCTCCCATCTTACCACCTCCGACCTGCCCGCCGCGAGCCTTGTCTGCCGGCCATGGGTATCTCCATCTCGAGAAATCTACTGGAGCCACCTGGAAGTCAAACTCACGGATCTAACCGCTGGGAAGCTCGCCCTCATCTTGGAGCGCGGCACGACGATCCCGTAAAACGTCAGGGCCCTCTGCGTTGATGATCCATCCAACATATTTATCGATATCAAGACAAAACAGTCCTGGAAGGACGGTCTCATTGCCATCCTGAGCCACTTTAAGAGAACTTCTGAGCTGGTTTTTGAATGCGCGGAAATTTGTGCCCATTCGGAGAGCCAATGGCAGGAGCTTCTCCAAGCGGCGCAGCCGCAGACATCACTCATTGTGAAGTGGCCCGAGGGTTCAAACTTCGTTTCACGCCATGCAAATCGTTTTGGTCCAGCCTCATATTAGCTCCCTGGGGCTTGATCTCATGGTGGTGGTGGAGCGAATCATGCCATGGGAGAGAAAAAAGCAGGCGGATGCAATTGAGAAGGCCGAGAAAGAAATTGCTGCCATCACCGTACGGCTAGGAAATCTTCGACACATTTGTCTTTACTCGCCTGAGGGGCCACCCTTCGACAACGTTTGGTCACACATTGTTCCGGCACTATCGAGAGCCCAGCTTCCAAAGCTTGAGACTCTCGTCGCTGAATCTCCGTGTGACACAAATAAAGAACTGTGCCAATTGATCAACACCACAGCTGCAACATTGCGCTCTCTGGCCATCACTTTCGACGATCCTGGTAAGTATGACCGTAGTCATCTTTAGCACGTTTTCTAGACCGTTGACAACTATTAGGAATCTTAACTCTCCCTGAGATGCCTTTCCTCATAAATCTCAGCATCTGCATCGACTCGGAGCCACATAATCAAGAAAACTCCGGCGTCGCCTCAGCCCTGGTCACGATCTCTTCTGTCCCAGCGACGCTCGAGCACATCTTCCCGCACATCACCCCCTCTACAGTCAAGCCAGAAGTCGACGAGGGGGCGCAGTGAAAGGCTCTGGATGCCACAATGGCGGTGATGCCACGCCTGCGTCGAATCACTGTTATTATTACGATGTCTGGCTATCTAGCTCGGACGCTGCTGGGCCCCAGGGACGCTCGCCGCAACATCAACGGTGCAGAGCTTGAACGAAAATTAACGAATGAA